TTGTATCCTCACTTGCTTGGTGAACGCCCATTGTCAACTCTTCGTCTTGAATCTGTAACTACTGCATATCGCCATATTGTCTTGCACTTCGGACACCTCAAAATCATGGTGAGACAAAAAAAACAAGATTATCTAGTACTCAAGAACTCTCAGATTCAATTCCTCCTTCATACCTCACCCAATTGGTATCCCAAAGACGTTTGGGACGCGTCAATTATGCTTGTTGATCGTCATGTGCGTCTCAAAATATGCTATTAGCTCTTGACTCACTATGCTACAGACACGGGGCTTCAAAGTTGGAATTGCGTTTGTATTCGAAGATCGAGTTCTCGCTTTCCTTAGTCATGACAACGTTTTTCAAGTAAGTGGAGTGAATTTGAGTCTGTGCCTTTGAATGAATATATTTCTCAGCCAACCTGGATGCTTGCAGATGCCCATATCGACCATCCACCCAGTGTCTACCATTCTCCCACCGAGTTCATCGCCCGCCTCGCGACATGGATCGAGGAGAAATTCCAGAAGTCTAGCTCTCAAGTTGGCAAGGGTTTGGCAACAGACCTGGTTCGCAATGAGCAGGAGATTTTCTTTGGGATTGGTGCATATACTGTACAAGAGGTCTTTCATCTGGCTGGTAGGTTTATTCTACCTCATCTTTGGTCTACTTATTCTAATCTCAGTGGTAGGTATTCCTCCTTTTCTAACCGCACGAGAGGTATTCACCAATCCCTCACGTGTCGCTCGACTTCGTTGCGGCATTCTATACATTTCTCAAGACTGGTGAAGGCTTCCTTATGTATATTCTCCTCTGCGTCACGTTGATTGATCGTTGTAGCTAATATCTTTTACAGCCCAATGCTTCGTGCTGCTATGTGCGAGGGTGTACTGGCACCTACTTTGGAGCAACGCCTTCACTATGCGTACCGACTATATGTCTGGGCCAAGGCGGAGGTGCGCATGCCAAGTCGCCAAAAAGCTGCCATTCTGGAGTATAATGTGCGTGCAAATTCACCTGATTTTGTGCCAAACATGCTAATCTTGGGGAAATACAGGTATTCCTAGCACGATATGATGACCATCCAACAACAATCAAACGCGAAACTCTCATCGATTTGTTTGACCCTTTCGAGCCATCAAATATACGGTCTGGTCTCGAAGACTTGAACATCGGACATCTTGTTTTTGGCAGGGATGTTTGGAGTGGTGCCGGATATCAGGTCCCAGCTGGGAAGGATGAGGATGCACTGACGGCCTTGTTTAGACGCAAAAAGTAAGTTGCTTTCGCAATTTTTGACCTGCATTAACTTCTCCTTCCAGAACTACTCTCACAACCCACTAAACTGAAGACAACGAGCTTTGAACCCCTTTTTCTACCCGACTCCGAGCTGAACGTGGCTGTTCTCCCGAACAATGCATACTCTGCAGGATCTGGGAAGCGTATTTGGACCCCATTAAACGACTTTCCTCCATCATTGCAGTGAGTATTGTGTTTGTATTGCGCAAAACTGACCAAGTATTATCTAGAAAGCGCAAAATAACCCAGCTTGACGAGATTCAGAAGAAAGAGGCTCTGTTTGCAAAACGAGTAGCTGCAAGTCGGCATGTTGCTATTGGCCCTCTCGAATACTGTGGTAATGGACATCGGATCCATTATGGGTTTGGGAAATTCCGGTGCGTATCATCCAGTGCTACCTTTCCCAAGATTTAACTAAAAGTTTAAATAGGCTTGCCGTCTGTCGTGGAGACCCCCGAATCTCGAAAGAGCGAGAGGACAGGGCAGAGAGTGGAGTCAAATTGCGAACAGGGACCAAGCGAGCGAAGGAGAATAAAAATGCATATGAGGCTGGCTATGAACGGGCAGCAAAGCGATTCAAGTCTGATATTGCGCAGCTTCCTGGCGCAGTCAAGCCTGCGGGTGAGAAAAAGCGCCGAATTAGTGCTAACAAGATGATTATAGGCCAGTCTGAGTCAACAGAGCTGGTTACTAGGTCTAGGTTGCGCATTCTTCGGTCTCATAATGTGTAGATATCTAGATATCTTGATATAATTTAGTGTTTTTAGGTGAAGTAATATCTTTTCTAATGAAGAACTGTCTGATTAAGGTCTATCTTGTCTTGAACTGAATATATAAGAGTTATATCATTGTTCTCTAACATGCCTACACCTTGGATCCAATTTTTTTGAACTTTTGAGCACTAGAGGGTATAGTAGACTCATATGTACAATAGCTAGCCTTAACTATAAGTCTGAGACTGGGAAATTTGGGGGTGTGACTCTGATGATGATGAGAGTCACACCCTTGTTCTCTCACTTGGCCACACCTTAGATCCAACTCTTTTGAACTTTTGAGCACTAGAGGGTATATGATGTGGAATAACTAGGCTTAACTATAAGTATGAGGCTAGAGGTATGGTTGGTGTGGACTTGTGTTACATGATATGATAGATGATCAAGCTTGCTAAGTTGTTTCTCCAGTTTACCATTTAGTAAATATGCCTGTAAAAGGAAATTTTGAACAATTGAGCAAAATTTGTTTTTTAAAAATATTTTTTGTTGTCCTAATTGCACAAGTTATGCCCTTGCCTATTTTGAACATAAAATAATGCAAGGACACACTTAAACTCCAAGCTCAAACCAATCTCAACACTCAAACTCAAGTTCACTTGTTTTTGCACCACAGATCAATGTCTCACAGAACCTCCCAACTAGGTGAAACCACTGTCCAAAACCACCTTTTGATCGCAAAACCACTGATTAAAACCACTTAAAACATCTCAAAACCAAGACCAGCAGTAAACAACGAAAAATGCTTTTATAAGAAGTTGCTTGTTTGCTGTTTTAATTTTTTACTTACTGCTGGTTTCAGATCCGGGATCAGGCAGACGCGGACAGCAGCTTGTCAGCAGGAATATAAACAGGTGTGCAGATCGTCAACCACAGGTTGAACAACAGAGATCGGGAGGAAACACGTCGGAAGCACCAGGTATAAGTTATATGGCCTGGGAACGTGGCCGTGGCGATGCTATCGATGCTCAATCGAGAACAAGGAGGGAACAAACCTTGTTTGTTCCAGCCGTCCGAGGTTTCTGCAGGTGGTTATGTCATCGCGTAGTGTGGGGAAAAACAGAGGGACGGCGTGGGTGGGAGATTGCTGCTAAGAAGAGCGATATGGGTCATTTAATGGCGGTGCTCGTGATCCTCGGTGCGTGGTTATCTTGGGACTTGGTATTCCAATTATTTGCCACCGGTGGCTTGGGGGTGCAAAGTTTCTCATCACCCTCCCCGGCTAGGTCCGGGTGCGGCGTAGCAGTGGGTGGGAGCCACCTGCGCTTGCTTCGGATTCGCGCCAAGGTTATGGCGTGGCCCCCGCTAGCGTGTGTTTTGTCCATTTGGGTGTCATCGGGCGGAGATCGCGCGCGCAACTTCACGATGGGTGTTGGCTGATGGATGCGAATTTAAATTTACACACGCCCGTCACCCCGTCCCTGTCGGCGGCGGCTGTACAGTCCAGATCAATTGCCCTTCTTCCGAAATCAAAATCAACATCACAACAACGCTTCGCGCCGGAGCCCGGAAGTTGTGTCGTGTGTTTTTTTTCTGCAGCCGCCGGCTCCGGCAAACAAACGCCACGTAGCAACGGGCCTGGTCAACATATGTGCATGCAGCGAGCCTTATGTAGCGTGCGCTTAGCGCGGTTTCTGTTTCCATTTGCATATTTGGTGGAGATCTTTTATTTTTTGCTTGGGTCTAGAATCAGGTGGACAGATGCAGATGGATCGGCTTGTAACAGGTTCAAACCTAAACCGAATCAGATTCCGGCAGGCGACGAACAAGTGACGAACTTGTCTTGGATGGCCTGTGGGAGCCATGCGTATAGCGGCTGTGCCGTGATCGACGTAACTATCGGTTTTGGTGTGAAGAGGGACATCCTGTGCTTGAGGAGGCCAAGAATAGGCATTCAGTAAAGTTGGTAGGGACCTTGTTCTGTTCTTAGGCAGCGCACTATCATCATCATCGCATATTGGATTAGGCTAATCGCCGCTCACAAGGTGATCATGTTGCTTGTTGAGAGGCCGCGGCTCCCGAGAATCCAGCGAAGGGAAATGAAACTGAAACTTCAATTCATCAACCGCTGGCTAGCTGCCCAAGAAAGACAAGAAAGAGAAGGGTCCCGGTCCTTCGACTCAGAAGATGGCATGTGCATGTGTGCTACTTCTTGCTGCCCCCGCCCGATGCCTCCGCCGCCTTCTCCTCTTCTTTTTTCTGTGAGACACGATGAGTTGGAGCACCGAATAAGACAAAATGCTAGCTGGGTCTTACCTTTTGCTTGGCCCGCAGTGCATCCGCATCGCTGCGGTCGAGACATCAGTTCATCCGAAACAGAATGTGGGCTGACTCACGCCTCCTTGCGCTTTGCGAGTGTCGTGTTGCTCTCCTTTGGCTTTGCCTTGTTGGCAGCAGCCTTCTTCTGCGCCTTTAGTCGGTCTTGGTCGCGCTGGTTACCTCCTGTAAGTGTTTAAGCCCTAGCATCATCGGAAAAGGATGTGCAAGCCACAGACGGGTCATCTCTTCTCGTCGTCGTTGTTGTCGTCGTTGTTGACTGCTGTTGTTGTCGTGGGAGCCGTGACGTCCCCTGGCCACGTCACGGGTCATACTTGCTTACCTAGCGCCGTTTACGCGGTACAGTATCCGCGGCTGTGCATGGCCGTGGGAGCGGCCTGTCTTTGGGAAACGGATGCGATCTGAGATCTGGGTGCCGTGCCGAGAAGAGCGATCGTTGGGAGATGCGAATCGGGGGCCGCTAAGCGGTTGCAGGCACGAGGACTTGACGTCTGAAGGGTTTCCAAAAGTCTGATCGCCTGCTCTTTCAATCCGCCTTCTTTCCCTTCCCGTCAGCCCTTTTTAAACCCCATACGTTCCTCCGCGCCCGCTTTTCCCCCTTCCTCCCTTTTCGCTCCCCCCCAAGCCCAACGCCAACGCCAACGCTAGCAAGCGCGTATGCGATGAGTGGCCGCCACGTCCACCAAAACGGCCCCGTCGTCTCCCCCACAGTGCCCACCAACGGCACATCAGTCACCTCCTCCGCTGTCACCAACGGCGCCTCTTCCTCCTCAGTCCCGCCCTCAATTCTCAAACTTACCGCCACAAACGAACAGACATGGCTACTCATTGGTACGTATAGCCCAATGCTCGTTTTCCGCGCAGTTTTCTGACTATTGTTGCTTTTATCAGGACGAGTGGCTGAGCAAATGGGTGACCTTGACACTGCGCTGAGCGCATACGAAAACGCCCTCCGACATAACTCCATGTCGCTCCCGGGGCTTACTCAAGTGGCGGGCATCGCTAGGATCAAGGAGAACTACCCCAAGGCGCGTTTACGCCGACGTAGTCTAATTTCCGGTAATTGACTTAGTCTCCCACAGGCTGTCGAGTTCTTCCAACGCGTGCTTGGGCTGCAGGAGGACAACGGCGAAGTATGGAGTGCGTTGGGTGAGTTCCGAAGTATTGCCTTGACTGTCCAGAGTCGCTTAGTCGTCTAGGCCACTGTTATCTTATGCAAGACGACCTGCAGAAAGCGTATTCGGCTTACCAACAAGCGCTGTACCTGCTTCCCAACCCAAAGGCACGCCCGGTTGTCGTCACCCACATAAAAATATACTCAACTGTTAATTCAGGAGGACCCTAAGCTCTGGTACGGCATTGGTATCCTCTACGACCGTTACGGTTCGCTCGACCACGCTGAGGAGGCCTTTTCCTCCGTGCTCCGCATGGATAAAGGTTGGTCTGCTTTGGCTTCAGGGTGTTGGGCATATATTGATGTGCTCATTTGAAGACCTAGATTTCGACAAGGCGAACGAGATCTTGTTCCGCCTCGGAATCATTTACAAGCAGCAGGGAAAATATGACGACTCGCTCAACTGCTTCGACCGTATATTGCGCAACCCGCCAAATCCGCTCGCTCATGCCGACATCTGGTTCCAGATCGGGCATGTCTATGAACAGCAGAAAGATGTATGCCCTTTTTCGGTCTCTCTCTTGTTTGCTTCCTGTGTTGTTTCTTGTTTCGTTAATCTCCGTGTTGTCCGAATGCTGATTTGCTTTCCGCAGTACGTCAGTGCTAAAGACGCGTATGAGCGTGTAGTCGCCGACAATCCCGGACACGCAAAGGTACTCCAGCAGCTTGGGTGGCTGTACCATCAAGATGGCTCGTCCTTCCAGAATCAAGACCTCGCGATCCAGTACCTCACTAAGAGCTTGGAAGCAGGTTAGTCTTCTCGCTTTCCGCTCCTCTGTGAAGCTAAAAAAGAATGCCGCAATAGACCCTTCCGACGCTCAAAGTTGGTATCTTCTCGGTCGAGCATACATGGCGGGCCAGAAGTACAACAAGGCCTACGAAGCCTACCAACAAGCAGTCTACCGCGACGGCCGCAACCCGACCTTCTGGTGCTCCATCGGCGTGCTGTACTTCCAGATCAACCAATACCGTGACGCGCTTGACGCCTATTCGCGGGCAATTCGCATCAACCCGTATATCTCGGAGGTGTGGTTCGATCTGGGCAGTCTCTACGAAAGCTGCAACAACCAAATTTCGGACGCTATGGACGCGTATGCCCGAGCTAGCGAGCTTGACCCCAGCAACACGGTCATTTCTGCGCGGCTGAATTTGCTGAGAAATGCTCAGGCGAATGGCACGACTATCCCCGCCGCTCCTGGCCCTCAAGATGTCCACCCGACCGCATATGCCAGCGCTGTCGTCCCCCCTCCTGGTTTGGGTGGCCCACCATTATTGCTTTCGTCGTCCGGCGCGAACGGACAACGGCCCGTGTTCCGGGCAGACTCCCGGGGGCCGCCGGCCGAGATTGCACTGCCACCCGCCGGTCATAACCACCACGGCCGTGGCTCACCATCTGGTCCGTTCCGTGGCGGTCCCCCACCACCGGTCATCCTTGACGAAACAAGGCACCCACAGACCCAAACGCTGGCGCCAATGGATGTTGATGGGCCACGGCGTGACCGTGAGAGGGAGCGCGGGCTGCTGCTTCACCACCCAGTCCCACAACCACAAGCTTCACTACCCCCTCCGGAGGACGGCCCGGCACCCTCTTCTGGGCGAAATGGGCACCATCACCCACATCCCAATCATTCACATGGCCATATTCAAACACACAACGACTCGTACTTTACCTCCTCTACCTCGAGGCATCGTCCTCACAGCACGAGTATGAGCCCGCCCCCCGCCTCAAGCACGCCGGTCTCCACCTCCACCAGCATTTGTCAACGCTTACCCAACTGGTGGGCGTGGTGGCCCGCCTCCAGCGCATCGTTCGCCACGGCCATTCCCGGGAGAACCGGAAATGGCTTGGGACCGTCGTGGGTCAGCGGCCGACTACGATCGTGAACGTGAACGTGAGAGGGACCGGGACAGAGAGCGAGAGCGGGAAATGGATCGTGATCGACGACCACGCCATTCTGCTGGCGGTGCTGACTACCCTGGGGCTCCACCGTTTTACCCAGGCCGCTCTGAATCTGTCTCTGGCCACCATCGTGAGCGTGAACGTGAACGGGACAGGGTTAAGGAGATGGCTTCTCGCGGGAGGAGTCCTGACACGTCTCCGCGGTCAGGACATCCGGCGCGGTACTGGGAAACGCCAAGCACCAGCAGCAAACCGTCTGGGCCGGGCCTGCCGCCAATGCAGCACGCGCCAGAAAATTCAATGGGGCCAGTTAGCGGGGGCAGCCGGCGGTATGACCCACGGTATGATGGCCGGGAAATGCATCACCGGGACTCGTATGAGGATCGGGGCAGAGAAAGAGAGCGGTCAACTTCGAGGGGTGGGTACCCTGGCTCCCATGCTGGCTCGCCGGAAGGCTTGCGCCATCCTGCGCGGCCACCGCCACCTGCTCACGTGCTCGCTCCGGGATCTTCTCGGTCCGAAAGTCCGATGCCGATGGGAGGGAATGGAGACCTGAAGCGGAGGCGAAGCGGGAAAGAGGAGTCGGCCGCAGCACTCATGGCCTCATCGGATAAGAGAAACGATCGAAAACGGAGGAGTGGCAGGAGTGGGCGGAAGGAAGATGGAGCGGACACACCAACGCCAATGCCCATGCCTACACCAAAGCCGTCTTTCAATGCTGTTGGTGGGCCAGGTGTTCCAGGCCCCAGCACCGGCGCTTACAAGATGTCGCCAGGTTACAAGAGCCCTGGACCAGTTAGCTCGAATGGGTCCGGCTCGTCGGGCCGGTCGGTCCAGCCATCACCGACAAATCCTGTTTCGCGGATGCCAGCGAGAGTGGTGGATGACGACTACGATGAGCCAGGTGTGGCTGATGCACTGATGGGTCTGTCCTCGTACCGCGAAATGCCCGCGCCTTCGTCTGAGCAATCTCCAACTGTGTCTTCTGGCAGTCGACATAGTGACCGCGACCGCCCGATTCCGAGCCATCGCGACTCTGTGTCCTCGACAAGGAGCCGCAACTCACCCCCGGGGGCGTCGCTCAAGCGCCCACTCAGCGCGACCGATGACGTGGACATGGAGAGCAGCAAGCGGTCACGTGTCGATGTCCTTCACCATCACCGCCGGAGTTCGTCTTCTGGTGGCGGGGCACGGCGCACACCAGTCCCCTCGACGCGGCCGTCGCCGATTCCGTTCCGGACGCAGGCCGCTGCAGCCCACGACGAAGCACGTGATCGTGATGGACAGTACCCCGCGAGCCCTCCGTTGCCAGCAGTGTTCCCGCCACATCCGCGGCCGGTGGGGATGGTGCAGGCCCCCGCGCCGATGCCCATCTCGCTGCCCCCAATTGCCACGCTGTCGCCTAGTTCGACTGCTCCGTCGCCGCAACTGCATCATGCAGAGGAGAAGATGCAGGTAGACGTCACCAGTCCACGGCAGCGTCCGTCGCAGTCCCCGCCTGGCTCGGCACGGAAGGGTGAGCGCTCGCCGCCGAAGCATACGCCCAGCCCGTCCTCCGAGCCGTGAGGTTTTTTCTTGATGATGATGACGCCCACACGAATAGCGAACTTATAATTTACTCGTACATATCTCTCTTTTTGTTCTTTGTTCTCGTCTTTTCTATGCATGCAATTGTACATAGTAGAAATGAAGCCAAAATGTATGTTATGCTGTACATGTAGACTGGAATCACCAATGATTGCACCAACTGAAGAACACTTAGCATTGGCTTCTTGAACCCAAGATGCATAAGGAGGCTCCCAGAAGACCAAAATCCGTTTTGAAGCTCATAATATGGCAATAATGTGCATTGTAAACAGTGGGCTATGTACTTTTCAACAATACCAGCTAGGGAAATACTTCCAGTTCAACCTCTACAGCTTCGAAAGAGACCCTCCTTCCTGCACATCGTAAATACGAACATGAAATGCTGTGCTTGCGGTGGTCAAGGAGGGAATTTGCAAGCATCGCCTCATGCGAGCCTCTCTAGTGTGCACTTGGCAAGCGACTCAGATTCGGATTTCTTATCTACAGGTTTTGCAACAGGTGAGCCTCCCCAAACTGTAACTGCGAGCCTTCCTATGCAAAATTACTTGCACTTGTACTCAATATGACTAGTAAGTAAGGATATGCAACCTCTCCAGACAAACAAACCACGAAAAGTGCTTGGCGGCATGACTGCACCTGTAAGACCAAGCGCCGTTGGCAGATTGAGTCGAAGAATCTTGTCCCTCCTGGTTATAATTCTACATAGCGTATCTTATCCTTAGAATTCTACTCTGTACCACAGTCGGTATGATTGAGCGGAACACAGAGATGTAATGGCTCGAGGAGTATTTATGTGGTCGTCCTCCATAAGGACTGATTGATTTGGTTTTGACATTTGGCAACGCTCGGCTGGAGTGTTTTCTCTTTCTCTTCCTCCGTTAGTCGTAGCCGGTCGTGGTTTTTCTTCTTTCCATTCCTTGCAGGTGCTTGTTCTCTTGGCCTCATGACATAGCTTAATACTGCGGCTCAAGTGGTCCCTCCCTTATGCATTTCTCTCTTGTCCTGCACGCGCTGGTCGTTCCCATTCTCCTGCTATGGACAGACTCGACTGCCGGTGCGTGGCTACATCGCCATCTTTCTAATCTCATCGTTCTACAGCGCATAGCGTCTCGCCAAGGCCGCTCAAACGAGTTGCAAACCCATCCACGCTTGCCTTGGAGATCCTCCCGCGAAAACAACAGCGCTCCGCCTCCCCATCCTCCCCATTCACCACCAAAGCCCCATTACTACCCCGCTCGACCACCCTCCGCTTTGACGACTCCTTCCGCCTCACCATCGCTGCTTTTGACGAAACCTTTCACCTCCATCTCCGCCCCAACGACCACCTCATTCACCCCGCAGCACGGATAAGCTACTACGCCCTGGGCCCAGACGGGTCGTCCTATGTCACGCAAACAAAGCCTTTGCTGCGCGAGTCGGTGAAAGCCTACGTGGGGGAGGTGATCCATGCCGACCATTCTGAGACCCGAATGCGGGAAGATGCGGCTGGTGTGGTGCCAACCCCACACCCCTCAGAGCTGGGCTGGGCGCGTATAATGGTACATCACCAGGGCGACATCGACAGCGATGTTGCGCCTGAATTCGAAGGCTCCTTCACTGTTGACGGTGTTGTCTACCATGTCGCCACCAAAGACAACTACTACCGCAACAAGCGGCCCCTTGACCCCGATGTCCAGCCGATTGATATTGTTGACTCGGAGCTCGTCATATGGCGCGACTCAGATATCATGACCCACGAGGAGGAGCGGATTGCATATGCGGGCCTCCCGATCCCTGTACCAGAGACTTGTGGCCATGACAAACTATCCTACAACACCAACCCACAAGAGAATGCCATCTTACTGAAGGAGCAGTCCACCCCCTGGCTCGATTCAACGCTCAACTTCTTTGGCAATGTCTCCAAGCGTGACGATGTCGTTGGTACAGAAATGGGCACAAAGTGCGTGGATTTTGCTTGTTAATAATGAGCTATTCTAATTTTACTCCCTAGTTTCGTGAACAACATCGGACAAACAATAGGCTGCCCGAACACACAAAAAGTGCTCTATATGGGTGTTGCCGCCGACTGTGTCTATGTCCAGAAATACGGCTCGCACGCCAACGCGACGAAACAGATCTTGAACAATTGGAACTCGGCCAGCTCGCTGTATAAGTCGACCTTCAACATCAGTCTGGGCATCATCGAGCTTCAAATACAGAGCGAGGTCTGCCCCAAGCCGGTCAATGCGTCAATGCCCTGGAATGTCGACTGTAGCACCGTCCCGCTCAATGATCGGTTGTCGCTTTTCTCACAATGGCGCGGCGCCAAAGGCTCAGACGGTGTCGGGCTGTGGCATCTGATGAGTGGGTGTCCGACCGGTTCTGAGGTCGGAATTGCTTGGCTTGCGACGTTGTGAGTTCCCGGTCAAAGATACACATAACCTTGTCCCGCTGATTAATATTGGTAGATGTCAGCAGAGCGCCTCGGGATCTGCGCCCTCCGTTGTTTCAGGCACAGCTGTGTCCACTGCAGGCTTGACAGAGTGGCAGGTTATCGCACACGAGATTGGCCACAACTTTGGGGCTATTGTGAGTGTTTCTGTTTTTGGTGTTGTTGATAGGGTTTATTAATAATTTGGCAGCATGATGTGAGGAAAATAGATATCTCAACCAACCCACTGATTTTTTTTCTAGTGTGCTGATGGATGTACCTCGACATCTGCGTGTTGTCCATTGACCCCAGGCTCTTGTAACGCCAATGCCAGATTTATTATGAGCCCTGTTGCTCAGAAGGGCGAGAAGACCTTCTCGCCATGCAGTCTGGGGAATATTTGCTCCTTGATGACGGGTGTCCAGCGGACAAACACCACTTGCTTACAAGATCCATCGAGCCGAGTGGACACCATCTCGCTGCAAATGTGTGGTAACGGGATCGTGGAGGCGGGCGAGCAGTGCGACCCGGGAGAAGGGGTTGATTCTCCCTGCTGCGACTCCAAGACATGCAAGTTCAAGACTGGCGCTGTCTGTGACCCAGATAGCTCTCCTTGCTGCACAGCACAGTGCCGGTACGCGCCAACGACCCAGGTCTGCCGCCCCGCGGTTGACTCCAAGTGCGATGTTCCCGAAACATGCACGGGCGTGTCATCCGACTGTCCGCCTGACATCACGGCGCCGAATGGCCAAAGTTGTGGCGCGAACGACCTCGCGTGCGCGAGCGGGATGTGTACTTCTGTTGGCGGTATGTTTTTTTGTCGGCACTAAACATTATGCTGAGCATTTAGTCCAATGCCAAATGTTAGGCGGCTCCATGAATCTCACACGAGCCTGCCCCAGCACCGGCTCGGGAACATGCCAAGTCTCGTGCCAAGACCCCCGCCGCGCTGACCAGTGTATTGTTTTGACTGCCTTGCTTGTCGATGGCTCGCCATGCGGGTATGGAGGCATTTGCGCTTCAGGCCAGTGTCAGTCCAATGGGCTGTTTAGCACCGCCAAGGTATTCCTGCTCTGTTCTTGCTTGAAGAGAAGCGCTGATCGTTTTCGCAAGGCGTGGTTCACGCAGAACTTGCAAATCGCAATCCCCGTTTCAATCGTCGCCGGGTTGTTTGCAATTCTCATCATCTGGGCACTCATCCGGTGTACGTCGTCATCAGCATCTTTTCCCCGCTATGACTGATTTAGTGCAGCGCTATATCGGTGCTGCCTGGGCAGACCAGAGAAGTACGCGACACAACCCATGGCGCAGGTGGCAGGAATGGGTCCGGGGCCGGGGCAGGCGCCACACCAAAGACTGGGAAGTATTGACCAGTATGGTCAGCAGCAACAGCAACAGCAACAGTACTATCAACAAGGGCAAGTTTAATTTTTCAATTGTCTTGAGGGTACTGATGCTCTGTTCGTAGACCCCCACCGCAAGAGACATACTGGGTTGACCCACGCCGCGGGTACAACGGCGGACGGTAATATGCTATCTATTCCATCTGTATTTTCTAGTCTACATCGAGTGTGGTATAACATGGACAGTAATAGAGCTGTGTGCCTAGACATGAGCTCTACCGGAGATGATTTAAGGTGGGCCGACAAGCGGCACTGACTATTTTGGATTTTGCGCTGTCATCGGCCCAAATAAAAGGAGCCAATCAGACTTGCGACAGAAGGGCGTTGGTAGAACATCAAGCGGTCCAGTCCTGAACGTCCCAATATCCTCTCTCCTTTGAATCTTCAAGACCCCTACCGATCCAGCGCCTGCTGGCCACATTATTTTCATGCTTCTGGTAGCCGCTTCCCTCTTACCTCGGGTCGGACGGTAACGGCCGCGACTACGAACCCATATTCCCCAGAAGCTATCCAACGATGGTCAGCTTCCGAGGCAAGCAAAACCGAGCTCATTGGCGTGGCGCTCCCTGCGATGTTAGCCCTTCTCCCACCGATTCTCCAAGATGATCGGCCGGTCAAGCTGAACGACCCACTACATCAAGCAGCCATAGACCTTCTTTCTATGTCTCTGCTCCATCAAGTGGCTGACGCACGACAAACCATTCTCTACACAGGGCCTGTATCCCAGCCGGCAACTCCATTGGATGTAACGCGAACTACCACCGAAAACCCAGACAGTAATGTCTTCACGGCTGCGGCTCGCACCACACAGGATGCTCATGTAGCGCTAAAATGGCATAATGAAGACCAGGAACGTATTGCCCAACTTGAAGCAGAGGTATTTCATGAACTCCTTTCCTTGGACCTAGCCTACTAACCCTTATTCTTGTGGATTCTCGCCCTCCGAGAGCAAATCCATAGACTCGAGCATGATATCGCCACGCGAAAGCCCCAGTCGACGGACTTACCAGGGCACTTGGTGTGTGCTTTTTGTGGAGATGTCGTCCGCTTATTCATTCCTCAGGCTGTGCATTTACCCATCCCTTCCGCACCCCTCACGCTTAGCTGGGATCCAGACGCACACCTCACGTTTCCGCCGCCGGACCCAAAATTAGGACTCGAGCCATCCTTATCGCCGAGTACCAGCCTAACTGGGACTAAAAGACCAAGGAAATTCCAGCGGACCGCCATGGCTCATTCGTATGTTACCCAAGCCCAACGGAAAATTTCCCCTCCACCCGATGCCGAAAATTGGCGTAACTGGTTTATGCTGCACCAGCAAGAGCCCTTTGCTGCAGCGCTCAGAAGTAAGGTCAATGGCCGAGTCCAAAGCCACTTCACTGCCCAGGCATCTCGATTCCCTTTTGACTTGACCATCCAGTAAGCTAAAACTTTCCTGCAGCGTGCAGCATGTCAAAAATGCATTGACGACCGACGTCCTTGTGTCTTCTTGGACAAGACACTCGGCGCAGAAAGTCGATGCATCTGGTGTGCTTGGTGCTTTAGGAACACGAGAAGTCGGTGCAAACCTAGTGCGGATTTGGCATACTTTATGGGTCAGTGGTCTCCCTTGCTCACACTGCCATCCTGAGTATCATACGCAGAAGCCGAAACCGTTGCTATCGTCAAGTACTGCAATCGGGTCTTCGACATAGATGAGCATGTGGGAGGATGGATGGGCCCAAACGTTCCGCCATTGTCATAGGTTGTTATCTCGCCCGGGCCGTGCATAGGCGTGCGTGTCTGGGTGTTGTGTATATAGCTAATACCACTAAGAGTATATGTACTCGGGTCAATCTTGATTCTTTAACGACGAAGGAGTGCTCGAGTCGGTGCAGAGGCCAACAGCCAGCGCTCGAGCGTATAATCAGCTCGTAGTCATGAATCACAGTGCTTTTCGGCTGGTTAGGACGGGCGCGAAAGAGCGCGAAAGATGGCGGCAGTGGTGATGGGAAGATATTGCGAACGGACTCTGGAGAAGATAGTCAGTATATGAAGTCAGACACAATGTGGCTGAGCGCTTGCCTCCGGCTGAACATGTTGTCGGACACCACAATAAGCAAAGAGCATTAGCTGTGTGTACCCACCTTCAGATGCATTGCATGTCGAGCCTGAGGGATGCGGATGAGTGCAGAATCATATCACACTGTGCACGTGCCACTGTGATATTCATCTGACTCGCTGAAACTGGAACGACCATGTTCCTCTCCAGAGCTATCCGCCGTTTGGAGCCTATTTTCGTTGCGTACCGCGCGCGTTTCCGTGCTTGCAGGGGATAGTGACTCTGTTTCGTCCTCCAACTCAAACGACCAACCTGAAAGCTTCGCACTCTGGCATCGTCATTGACAAAGCTACTCATCCACCCTCTCCACCCCACCCCCTCCTCAATTCTTCGTTACATATCTCCAACTGTCGGCCTTCAGCAGACGAGCTCTCCACCACATACTACATAATATTCCGCGCTGCTGTCTGGTTTGTGTTCCGACAAGAGCTTCGTCATCGACGTTCCTTTCGGCTAATATGCTGGCCCAATACACCAGTCAAACATTAAGTACTCGGGGACCTCTTTAGGTCGGCAAAATAACGACAAGGTCTGTGACCCGCATGTCTCGCGCTATCCTGCATTTGGAGTCTTCCCTTTGATTGTGCTGGTATTTTCCTCAAGAGGCGGGGTCCTCATTTGCTTATTTTGCGAGTACAATCCAAACCTTCCCGAAGCCTTCGAGTTGTGTGTTCTGCTCCTCAAGAGATATTATCATGTCAGTCGTATCTCTCGCAGCAACCATTGAGCCATAATGTCCTCGCCGGGATGGGAACATTGGCAAGACCTAGACGCAACTTTTTAATTGAACGACAAGTTACTTGGTAAGTATGTGTCGTGATGTTGTTTATTTGTGGATGAGACTGAAATCTATGTGTCAGCGCAACAGCGTTCTCGTCTCTCTATCGCAAGCAACACTGGACTACGTCTAATGCAGGAGCAGTTCCCGGACCGCCATCGAAGCTTATATCCAGCCCCTAAGAATTTATCCATATTCGCGTCCGTTTCATCATCGAAGTCTGCGCTGGCAAACGAATTCGAATGTAAAAGCACTGGCCCGCAGGTACATACTGGAATTGAGACCGTCGTCCTGCCTGCCATTTCCAGCTTTGTCGTCGCCTTGAATAAACTCAGATTTCTAATTTCGCACTTCCAATCTTCGCGGCGCGGGTTTATAAGCTTGTACAACTCCATTCGCCAACTCTTAAAGCGTGCTATCGAAGGGTTTCCTAGCACATTGTGTGCGGCAGCCATTTCAAAGCGCCACGATGGAGGATTCAACCTGTCGACTCCTTCACCTCCAGCCCTGATGTCCGCGCGAAACCCGCATTTTAGGCGAATCGAACTGCACTAATCGCACGCCCTCAAACCTTGAGAAGATGACCGGATGACGACCTTCATCCTGCTTTTCGGCAATCGTGATGTCAGAGGACGCCTCCGGTATGTCACATTTTTTTTGGTTTGTCAACATTTATCGGCCCAAGACTACTAGTAATCGAGGCACGCATAATCTTCATGGAGACTCCAAGGTTCAAGCCTATACTGCATGAAATTCAATATACTGACGAATGTGTTGTTGTCTGCCATAAGGGCCCTGTTAAAAGTACGTGGTTACAACAATCGTCTAACCGAACTCTACTTTACATAGGGCCTACGCTTGAAAACTCACTGGGATGACACCGTACCTCTGCAGCGCCTGCTCCAAGCCGGCAATAGGGCCATCAGGGGTTCTGCTACCCCCCTTACAAGCGCTTAGCCATACAATCGAAAACTTCTCGAGCCCGAGTCTCCCGAGCCCTTTGGTGCGACGAAGTTTCGGGCGGCGCAAACTTGAACAAGGGCCCTCTGCCTTCGTGTAGATAAATGGCGCGGGACAGACGGGTCGTCTTTAAATTTCCCAGATTCGCCCCACTCTACCGACCATTCAAAGCAAGTGCATTTTCCTTTCCTTTCCCTCCAAATCGCTTGCGCCATGCTGACCGTCGGACAGCGCAATGCAGATCAAGCTGACCGCCATCCTGCTCGTGCTCGCTAGCGCCGCCCAGAGCGCGCACGCCCTGCACGCCAAGGCGCACATTGCGTTCTTCGAGGCCGCGAATTGCCGAGAGCAGGCGTTCGACATTGTGAAGACGAACGGCGAGACCGAGCCGGGCACGTGCATCACGGCCCGCGACGGCCGCACGGCCCGGAGCATCCTCTGGATCGCGATACCAGCCGTCGGTCACGAAACGGAAATTGAGGACGGCCCGGGACTGCAGTTTTTCCAGTCTGGCGGCGCCCACGACCAGTGCAGCAATGGCGCGCAGTTCACCACGCCCCCTACTCGGCCCGTGGGGTGCCAGACCGCCCCCGACGGGTGCGTTCTTAACTTGCTGATGACTAGTCAGCTGACTGACTGGACGCTAGGTTCAACTGGCAGAGCGTGCGCCTCCCTTAGGCGCAGACCACTATCTATACCTTGTGCCTGGAGATCGCGACGGAATCAGAACCATCTGTTACTTGGTGCTATATACCACACAATATACTCCCTTTGTTTTTTCAACCTTTGAGAATTGATCTCAAAACTTGCCTAAAAAATATGCAGTTTGCGAGTCGTGCGACACATTCAATCTGCGAAACATTCAATTAAAAACTATTGTTTCAATCAGTTTGAGAGTCAGAAGTTTTGTATTTCTTCAGTGCTACACATCCCCTTGAACCAGCCTATACCTAGCTTTGCACTCTGATGAAGCAGACAGTTCTCTAGAGCTGAGCAGTTCGGTGACGGACCCGCCCCTCTTCAGTGCAAAACTTCTCCATGGCGGCCTCTTTTCACATATGTGGCCTCTGCCAGCTGCTAATGAATTTTTGAGAATTTAGTAAGTATCTTTTGTTACTCTCTGGTCTGAGACTGTCCATGAGTACTGTACTTAATTCCAAGTTGAACTTGAAAATCCTACCAGGAACACACAGGAACACCGTAATGTATGTAGTCAGCATCTCGACAGCGGGGCATCAGAAGCGCCGATCTAGACCCACTAGCGAGAAATATTTTAGGCATTACACTTGGCCCGCGTCACCGGCGCTTCTTGCGTCTTGCTCTGCATGTGAGCCCGTCGTCTGCGTACTGTCCCCCGCGCCCACCCCACTGCTGCTACATATCGACTTGCAAACCGATTAAAGCCCGTATTTATTTCAAGTTGCCGTGATGGCAGCTAGCGCGCGCGCGAATTCGAAGCCTGCCAACACCAGCGCGACGGCGACCCCAGATCCAATGTCAGCGCCAGAGTTGGTAGACGACGGCTTGGTCCCCCCTTCCATGGCTGCAAATCTTGGTGCGTCCCAGATCCCTTGTTTTAGCGCTATGATCAACCTCTCTCCAGCTTTGGAAGACACACTCGTCTTCGAATCACACGTCCGTGAAAGCACACCCAAAACAGCGAGTGAAGAGGAAATTGCGATTACTGTCGAGGGGCCCGACTCGCTGAGCAGCAGTGCGTTAAGTGGTGCTAGCACCATCGTCCCCGACGAGCCCGACGGTCTACATTCCCACGCTGCCTCATGCTCCTGCTCGTCTGCCGCCAGCGACGCGGAGGACGCCCCAAACTCCGCCGTCCCTCGGCCGACGCGGGTCCGCTTTCGGTCCCGAGTGCGGATCACTTCGGGGCTGCACGCCCACCACAAACGCCCGCTCTTCAATTCTGGCGGGGGCTCTGTCTCCTCCCTTGCATCATCGCTCTCGGCATCCTCCTCCGTTTCCGCCCCGCTCCGATCTCCGCCGACCGAAGCGACATCGACGCCCGGCTGGGGCACCCTTGGTACCCGCGTCGGCTTGTTTGCGCATGCCAAGATGGCACCGGGCCGCAGAAAAAGGCAGCAAGGGGAGAGAAGGGCGCTGCTGGCGGACGGTGGGCCAGCGCGATATGATGGGGAAGAGGAGGTTGAGCACTACTACGACGACGAGGCGTTGTTGTCGCGCCAGATTGACATCGTATTCGGTTCGTTGCCGTGGCGGCTGCTCAACGGAAAGTGGTGGTGGTGGCATTTGCAGCCAATAATCTGCTGTGGGTGTCTGGACGAAGAGGACGACTGATCGCTTTGTTCCTGTACTTATCCTATTGCTGTCTTGTTATCTTGTCTTTTCTCTCTCTCTCGGCTGTTTTCATACCCGCATCTGTATACCTTCAAGGCTTCAACTGTAACCTGGACATCCAATACTTGCTTGACAATAACATGCTATCCTCAGAGAACTGAACTTTCGGTCTTCCACAAATCTGCCATGGAGCTTGCCAGTCGCTTACCAGTTTGGCATATAACTACAGTATTGCTAATGTTGTCCATTGTGTTATACGTGCCCGCCTTTCATGGATCAAGCAGCATAACCGCGTCCAGCGCGCGTCGCACGCCAGCCGCATCAAACATCCCGCTGCCATCGCCTGCGATTTCCGTGCACCTGACGCCGAGAGCCTGACCGTAAATCAGCAAAGAGCTAGACTGCCAGAAGAGAACACGGACCGTTATCTGCCGCCTGTCGACGAAGACCTGGGTGTCTTTGAGGAATACGAGGTCGGTGATGAATGCGCTGGACGAAGTAAAAAAAACGGCACAAGATAAATAAAATAGCGCACGAGACGGGGAAGGTGGTGTTGCTGCCGGGTCCGTACGCGAGCCCGTAGGAAGGCGTGTCGTAGTGGGCGTTCAGCGTGTTGACAATTGCTCTATCTCATTTTCAGGCGGAGATGAGCATGGATAAGAGCAAGGCGAACTTGATGTAGTCTACGGCGGTATAGCCCTCCGTCTCGCGGTCGTTCTTCGCATTCACTTGCCAACTTGTTCATTGCTTTCTTTCCAGACGGAGTTGAAACAACACACATAGCAAAACCTTTGCCTTCAATGAACGCGATCTCGCAATCCCAGCCGCAACCCCGCGCAGCGCGAGACACGGCATAATGCTTGTCCACAGAGAGCCGCACGAGTATACCAGCATACCACTGTTTGTCAGTGCAGATAGGTAGGCGGGGTTTGGCGCGGGATGGATCTCGAAGCCATATGCATTGATGTAGTACAGTCCTGCACCAAATTCATTAGGGTCACTGAAAGAATAAAAACCTACGGGATATTCGAGCCGCCAGAGGTTGGGAGGCCCCCTTGGCCGCTTGCTCAAACAGCACGTTTCGCCGCTGACTGCTTGCGATCGTCTCCCCCATGCCATCCACAGGCGAGAGGCTGTCTGGTACTGTGCCATCCTGGGTTACACTAGCCGGCACAGGGTGTGAAATCTCGCACTGTCCGACGAGCTTCTCCCCGTTTTCCTGTCGCAAATGACTCGGATATATAAATAAAATACTCAAGAGTAGAAAGACCCACCAGCTCGGCAGCAATGGTGACGGTGTGGTTGGTGACGATGGTAGGTACAATGTCCGCCTGGCTGTTTGTGATCGAGGAGAACAGGAAGATCGCGGCAGGCAGGGAACGGAAGAAGCCCTGAGCGCCCGCAATGAGGTAGTTTCCAATGCTGCCCATATTCTTGATCCGAGGCACACGAATTAAGAGCCACACACCTCCCGTTGACGAAGGTAAAGTTTTTGTGCGCGCGCTTGAGCAGCTCGCTCTCAAAGTGGACGAGGAAGCCTGCCTCAATCAGTGGTCACTTCGTTTTGTTTTTGTAACTTGCCTCGGATCGTTTCCTTCCGATCGTGTGGGATGCCCCTCCACAACCCACTCCTTCCCTCAACGATATCGCGCCATTCATCTCTTGCGACCCTCTCATCGGCCGGAAGACGGTATGCCAACAGAGCACGGATCGCATCGAGCGCTGGGCTGGACGGAATTAGACGCACTAATCTGGAGCGAATGTCCCCAATCTGCACACAAAAAGGTTAAATACCTCTTGGAACGAGTAGCGACACACTGAGGGGCCGCCAATGACGCGGATAATTTCGGCCGAAGAGCCACCGTCGTCCGACACGGGTAGCACGTAGCAGGCATGTGGGCCAAAGGCTGCACAAATCGCGTTTCCACCTGTACCACCGGAGAGAACGACATAGGCTGGCTGAGGGCTGTTGGAGGCAAGGTGTGGTTGCAGCGGAGTGGCAATTGCGGGGCGGGGTGGTAGTTGGCCAGTGGGCAGGTCGAAGACAGAGGAACCAGGACTTCCATTGTCGCGCTCAACAGTTAGGGTGAGGCCTACACTGGGTGTTGGAGGGAGCATGGGTAAGAGTAGTAAACGGGAGCGACGCTTGTGGTATTTATTCGATATGAATGTGATGTTGTGGCAATGCGCAACGTGTCGAGTCGTGCTAATACGTGTAGCCCAGGCGTGGTCAAACTTTGAGCTCGCCTGTATACTCTTTGTCGCTATTTTCTTGGAGTCTGGCTATGAGAAAGCCTAGGTTGGAACTTGGCCTTGCTCTGCTGGTGGAGGTTGCAAATTACTCAGACTGGGTAAAGCCGATGAAAGCGAATTCGTTGGAAACAGCGCGCGTGTCTGTATAGGCGGATAACCAAACGTATTTCAGCCGTCGAGCTCGCTCAGGCTAGCGGCCCCGTGTCGGTTGAGGCCCAACTTCAAGTCGTCAGATCTGCTTTGTGGTGACTTGAAGCATTATGGCTATGGGATGGGTTATGCACACGTTTGTTCCAAGCTACTGGTTCGTTCCTCCCAGCTATCCAGATCTTTTGTCGTGTTGTGATTGAGAGTTAGAAACGAGCTGAAACAAGCAGCACGGTCACGGGCCGGATCGAGAACTGATTTCTTGCTCTCCCTCTCCCCACGATGGCGGCTGCGGATTTTCCAGCGCTGCAGGGCTTCTACCAGCTGCTGTTTCTCTACCTCGAGCCTAGTCCGTCCCAATCATCCTAACACACCATCCTTTAATACTCACCAGCCTCAACCATGCTCCCTGCTTTAATGGCTTGGACATTTCCTGGCGCGCGCTGCTTTCACCACCAGCTGGTCCCCACCGCCAATTCAGTACCTACCACGCCGCTAGAGACGCGGACCCAAATGCTCGTCTGGCAGCTTGGAAACTGTGCATCCTGAATTCCTCATTTCTGGCGCCTGCTAATCCAAATTTCCAAAATCACCGCAGGCTACCTTCTCCTTGGCCTTGTCTCTTCGCTCGTCTTCCGCGCCGCGCGGGACGCCCTCAAACACGACCCTGTTTCGCAGGAGCGCATTGTTGGCGCGCTGCTTGCTGCCCTCGCCATCGCCGATGTGAGTGCCACAAAGCGAATTGAACTAGATAATCATGTCGTTGCATAGGTGACCCAGTGAGCCCCCGCCGACTTCTCCAACTCACCGTATTCAATTGTTACAACTCAGCATTGTCGCAACTTTGATAGGTCTGCCCCCAGCACTAAGATATGACTTTCTCGCATGGAACCCGATGACACACGGCAACATCTCGTTCGTCGTTGTCCTCTTCAGCGTTCGGTGCGTGCTTCTATGATATTTATTGCTCAGATCGCTCAAGCGTTTACAGCATTGCGTGGTTCTTTGGTTTAGGCAGGACGCCGTATTGGTTCTTCGCGTTCAAAAAGACAAAGACTGCGTGACCTGTTCAGCTGCTGGTCTGAGTGTAGATTTAGGTGACCAATTTGGGCGAAAGAGACACTTTTGACTCACATCATCGCCAACGATTGAGGTGAAACCCAGCATCTATAACCTGAATGCGATTGGAACATTTAGATGAACTGATAGACTATCTCTTTCTTGTCGAGCTTTCGGTCTGAACTTGAATCAGAAATGACACCTTTTGAGGTGCATTCCAGTGCTTCCCTACAAAATGCAATCCAAACATTGGGAAGCATGCCTGTTCTGTTTTAGGGATTCTACTGTAACCTCTCTGTCTTTCACTGCCAAATTACTAGGACGTACCAACTGACCCAGTCCTAATTATGAAGTTGGGGCTATCAACATTATTGCTCAGATGGCTCAAGCGTTCGCGAATTCTACTTATAACAGGTCTTGTATCCTCTTTCCCTGTCTTTTACTGCCAAATTACTAGGATGTAAAATCAACAACGAATGACTACTTACTGACCCAGTCCTAATTATGAATCAACACCACTTAGACTCCCATACGGAAAATTACAAGCATGACTCTCGGACAGTATCGCGCGCAGTATTTCGAGTAACTTTCCGTTCACCACATATATCTACTAGTATTTTACTTTAAAACTGGAACCCCAAGTCAACTGAGGACTTTATTCGACAGTAAACAACTCCAACTCGAAAGTTCCCTGCTCTCACGCATGGAGGCGGCTATCACCGCTCAGGTCCGTTCGAACTTCAAGGCTTTGCTTTGATATTGCCAACAATCAAGCTCTGCGCGAGTGCTTAGCGAGAACTCAGAGCAGAGCACACAGGGTCGCACCTTATAGGCTTGCACATCGCCTCTGAACTTTGAGACTGTCCCATCGCCACATACCCACAGCTGCAAAGACTTAGCCTTGTTCTAGTAGAAGAACGACAGCGACCCGCCTCTTGCGCCACAGTGGTGATGAAGCGTTCGTCATGCGAGATGATGATCACACCACCATTCCACTTTTGCAGAGCCACCATGAGAGCGTCTAAGCCCTATAATAAGCCCTTCAGATTTTTGCACACGCATGGATTGGCGCTACTTACTTCGATATCGAGATGATTGGTCGGCTAGATGACAGTAAATCAGCTTCTTGATAAACCAGAATAGACCGAGGTACCTCATCAAGCAGCAAGATGTGAGGCTGCTGAAGCGACAGAACCGCAAAGGCAACTCGACTTTTCTGTCCTCCGGATAGAGTAGCTATTGGTTGCATCCTATTTAATAGATCCAAGTGGCATTCGAATATCACAAAAAACGAAGGAAAAAATCGCACCCCGTCATACCGCTGATCTGGAAGTTGCCCAGATGTTGTCGATAGTCCTGCTCTACCCGTCCTGGGAACTTAGAAGCAAGGAATTGCACGGGCGTCATGGTCGGAACCAGCGAGTCGACATGGTGTTGCGCAAAGTACCCGCTGCATTAGCGTCAGAGAGAGCCCATAGCTGAACGTCGTCGAGAGAAGACGCACACGCGCAGCCTCCCGTTGCGTGTGACATGACCAGCCATGGGATTTAGATCTCCCGTCAGAATTTTGATTCTGGAAGCAGAAAAACAAGTAAGAGCATGGACAGTACGGCGCGCTGCCACTTACAGTGTCGATTTTCCGGCTCCGTTTGCGCCAACGATAGCAACCCTTGAATCAAGGCCGACGTCAAAGTTGATATTCTTCAAGATAATCTTGTCCGCCGAATAGCCAAACGTTACTTCATTCATTTGAAGTAGTGGCGGCGCTATTTTCTCGGTCTCCGGGAACCTGGACACGAGCTATCAGACCATTCTGGTCCATGAGAAACGGAATTGGATCTGACTTGAAGTTCTCCGTCTCATCTTCTTCTGGTGGTTCGAGCTCGGGTAACTTGGAGCTGTGTAAAACTCTGGAATGGACGCCGGTGCAACAATACCTTCTCCAGGATCTTGATTTTGGACTGGGCTTGGGCGGCACGGTTGGCATTATAACGCCACCGGTCAATGAAGGCTTGCAAGTGACGCCGGTATTCCATCTGCGTTTCATACTCCTTGCGCATGTTACGGTCGCGCTCTGACTTGGTTGAGTAGAACTGTGTAAAGTTGCTGGACTTGCAATGAATGCATCAGTCTACCTAGAGTGATGTCTCATACCCCTTGTAGTAATCAAGACGACCAGAATGCTGATGCACGATATCAGTGGCGACGGCGTCGAGGAATGCACGGTCATGCGATCTGTGCTGATGGTAAGCTTGGGGGGAGGCCACTAGATGGAGAACATACACAACAAGAAGCGTGCCGGGCCATGTTTGGAGATAGTCCTCCAACCACGCAAGGGCATTCAAATCAACTAAATTGAGGTTTAGTACTGAACCTACCTGTATTGACTTCACCCACTGTGATTGGAAGGTTCGTCCAAAAGAAGCAAAGAAGGCTATAATGTCGATTGAAAGCTGGAGAATCAACGAAGCAGCGGGAGATACCTTGACGAACAAAGCTCTTGCTAGCGCTAGTCGCATGCTATGGATTTCCCCGTCAGAAAATGCATTGAACCCAATGGTGAACCCACCGCCAGCCTCCACTGAATGATTTCGTTGGGCGCTGCTGATCCGATTCGTTGAAACCCAACCCTGCCCGTCGGTGTCAAATTCGTGAGTAAGCAGCAGAATGATGCGTTTACCCGCAAGAAGGGCCGCCGCTCTGGCAGGACCACTCTCTGCATCCATGTCGGATAAGCGGGCGTGGACGTCCGCCAACCGCGCTGAGGCCTCTTCCCGGGCATCTACAAAGCGTTTATCGTCGCCCTCCGCTTCCAATTCCGCCAATTTCGCATTTAGAGAGGCTTCTTCCTTGAGCAGATGGTCACGCCATACATCAGCCTTGAGCACAGAGTCGATGGCTACTGTGTCGTCGCCCACGATTTCTTGCTCGACAAACAAGATCGTGATGTGCGCGGGGATGGGAACTTCACGCATCGCAATGTGTCGCAGAAGGGTGGATTTACCGACACCTGGGAGCCGAGTAAATTAAATAACCCTTTCATTGAGATATTTGACAGATCGGTCGCACCGTTACGGCCTATGAGACCATATCGACGTCCGTGGGCCATGGTTAGTGTGGCCCCAGAGCTGCAAGCGATGAATTGTTTGTCGGAATTAACTCTGGTGTTTGAGTACAACGCACAGGATACGATTCGAGCCAAAGTTGACGTCGATCGAGGGCAGATGGATGTCCTTGCTCTTGTTTCTTGCGGCAGCGTTTGCCTCGAGTGGATTAATCTGTAGGGCATTGAATAACGACGGAATTGAAAGATCAATACATTCGCACCTTCATGAACATCTCTTCATACGTTTGCTGCATCGCCGTTAGCGCCGGAGATCGTTGCTGATCCCAAAACGCACCTGTTTCCGGTGGGCATCAAGCAGTTTCGAGCCCTCATACAGAGTCCGAGAGCGTTTCTCAATCTTAGCCTAGTCATCGGAAACAGGTTAGCTAAGGCAGGAACCCCATATGAAACGGCGCACTCGTAGCTTGGCCTCCTGCTTTTCGAGTTTCTTGACATCAACCTTGGAGGCCCTGTTGTTTGAGATGAAGAAATGCAATTGATTACGAGGGCAATGCCACATACTTGCCCTTATTGATAGATTCGAGGTCTACGCCTTCCGAGAACGCGATTGTGTTGGACATTGTTGTTTTACTCATATCCATTACTTTGTCAAGTTTGTGCAGTTTCGGACCAGCGCTGTTCTTCATGCGTTCCCTGAAAGTAGGCTCTAGCAGTTCCGCCAGACGTAGCATCAACTTTTCGAGCACATCAACGCGTCCAGCAGCGACCGAGTCAAGAATTTCGCGTGCTACTTGAAGGACATCTTCTTCCTCGCCAGCATCATCGACAAGGTAACCCGCGAGGTACTGGACGATGACCTCCTCGGTGCCGGGGAAGCTTTCACGAATTTCCTCCGCGATGTCTTCAGACGACATGAGCTTTGAAATTTGATCAGATGTCACACCGTGACCCGCAACACACCTCGGCAACATCATGTCATGAGAAGCGCGGCTGTGTTTGCTGGTAGGTACATATACCCATCCGCCTTGTCAAGCTCCCTTGATTTACTTGCATGCTTTTTCTCTAGTTGTTTGTTTGCCTTCGAAATGCGCTCGCTTTGGCCTGCGATAGTCCTCTCCTTCATCCTCCCCGCGTTGGCGTCCATCACAAGTCGGTTATCCTCATCGGCCGCGTTCGATTCCGCTCATTCTGTTTCAAACAGTCATCGACGACGAGAAGGGGGACCCGACCAATGGCAACAAAATCAGCTACGAGCCTGCAGGGGCGTGGCAGAGCGGCACAATTGCAGGCTGTCCTCAACCATGTCGATATCCACCGCCAAGTCTCATGAACCAGGGCACCTACACTGGGTCGGTATACGTGCGTTATTGTGCCTTGTTCTTCGTCGTCCCCTTGACCTAAGCTGTAGAACCCCAAAGAAGACTTTTATAGCCCATATAACGCGACCGTCAACTTTACAGGCGTATCCGTGAGCGTCAAGTGTGTGCTCAGCGATTCGATGTCGCAGCCCAAGTATGTCCTTTCCTTGGGTTTAACATCGGTCACCAACTGGCATTCCAGGGGAAGAACAGAGCTATATTTTTATGTGGACAACGCCTTCAACAACTCCTTCATCCGGGACCCCTCCGGCTCTAATCAGTTCCTACCAAACCACACTGTTTTCACGGTTGGCGGTCTAGTTCCTGGACCGCACACGCTGCGAATACAGAATGGAGCCATCAATGGCCAGGTCTCCCTCGCTATCTTAGACTCCATCTGGTATTCGTGAGTCCGCTCCTTAATTCAGTTACGCTCTGTTTCTGACTATATACTAGTGCAGACGAAGACCTCTCGCGAGTAACAACTGGAGCAATTGTAGCGGCCACGACTACCAGAACCAACACTTCTTCTTCGCCGACATCATCGCATGCAACTGTGATTGGCGCCACCAAATCTTCCAGTTCCAAGACCGCTGCAATTGTTGGCGGCGTCGTTGCAGTCCTGGCCGTCTTCCTTCTCGGTCTTCTCGCCTTCCTCTATTTGCGCCAACGCCGAAAACAACAGCAAAAATCGAATGTGCCCTTGTCGACGACGCTCTTTTCGCCATTCCGTGATCTTCTATCAGCCGCACGGAGATCAGCCAGGCCACAACAGGACATGGCCCCTGTCCCCTTCCCAACACCGATCCAGGCCGAGTTTCCAACAACAAGACCACGCCCACGGCCCCACACAACCCCCGCCTCCGGGTCACGCTCCCGGTTATCCCGCATTTCATTCAACCCCAACCTGCTCGTCGCGAGAATGCGGCGAGCTCCCCCCGCGCCAGCCCCTGTTGGCTCGCCCATTCCATCAGGCGATCCCCTCATGCGCCAAGCGTCGCTGCCGCCAGAAAACATCGCCTCTATCCAGGCGTGGCAGCGACAAACGCTGCAGGCCACGGCTGGCGAGCCGCCGCTGCACCCGCTAGACATCTCCGAGGTGGACTTGTCGAGCCATTATGACGAGAGCTCGAGCGGGCCACCGCCACCACAGCCCGTGGTCCCCCGGTCGCCACAACCGCAGCGTCGGTTTACTGTAATGAATAATTAGGGTCGGGTAGAGCACACATGTTTAATTCGGATACCCTGTGGCCAATTGTAGTATTAGCTATCGCATCGTTCACTCTTTTCTGATGTCATTCTGTTCTGCCGGCACAGCAAGTGGCCTTGCAGATTTCGCTACGCCACCCCGTAGTACAAAGTAACGCTGGCGCGATACACTTGATTATGCCACCTCTTCAGAACCACCCTCTGTGCTTTTCCGCACGCAAATGGCATTGCTTTGAAGTTTTTGGGGCGGACACCGGATTGGGCTCATTTCAAGCTTAAATTTCTATCGCTACCAACAATCGTTTATCAAGTAAGATACGTGACTACCATGGTTTTGCAGTTATTAGCTTTGTACTCCGCCAACAGTGTTTAATTATAATGAAAATATTTAAATCATCATATCACGCACCGTGACATGCGGTTTTGCGGATACTCAAAAGATTAACTTGAACAACAGGTTTGAAAAGGTAAGTTTTCGAAGGAGCGAAAACAAACGCAAACAAGGTGAGTATATTGGCGGTATATAGCTAAGCGATGAGAGATTCCGCCGCAATTCACTGAAGTCCAGGCACAAGGTAAGTATACTGTGCTTAAGGGAGGCGCACGCTCTGCCAATTGAACCTGGCGGCGTTCGGTCAACCAGTGACTGGTCATAACCCAAGTTAAGAACGCACCCATCGGGGGCGGTCTGGCACCCCACAACGGAGGGCGTGGTGAACTGCGCGCCATTGCTGCACTGGTCGTGGGCGCCGCCAGACTGGAAGAGCTGCAGGCCCGGGCCGCCGACGTTGGTCCAGAGGATGCTCCGGGCCGTGCGGCCGTCGCGGGCCGTGATGCACTTACCCGGCGAGTCCCCTGTCGTCCTCACAACTTCGAAGGCTGTCTCTCGGCAATTCGCAGCCTCGAAGAACGCAACGTGCGCGCCGTGTGCGGCACTGGCGAGCACGAGCAGGATGGCGGTGAGCTGGATCTGCATTGCGCTGTGCGACAGTAAGCATGGCGCAAGAGATTTGGAGGGAAAGGAAAAGGCACTTGCTTTGAGTGGTCGGTAGAGTGGGGCGAATCTGAGAAAAACGACCCGGCTATCCCGTGCTATTTATCTACAGGGCCGCTGGAAACCTCGTCGCGCCAAGTTGCCATCGACTACCGCAAGAACTCGGGAGACTCGGGCTCCAGCCTGAGGAATCTTTTGCCAACTTGAAGTTTTCGATTGTATGCCTGAGCTTTGTGTACTTCATGACTGAAAGGGGCATAACAGAGCCCCTGATGGCCCTATTGCTGGCTTGTGGCAGGCGCAAAGGTCCAATAAACTTGAGTGACATTTTTGATGAAGCTACTAGACGATTCCAAGTAGTTGTAACACCATTCGACCGTTCCAGGGAATATATTGAATTTCATGCAGCATCCAGTAGGGTATCGAACAAACACGAGCTTGAAGTAGAGTCTTCCTCCGGATTCCGCCTTGAGGCGATAAATCTCGCTTGCGGAAAATGCGACATGCAAGGGCCTGCCCTCTGCCATTTCGGCTGGTATTAGAAAAGCAAGATGAAGGCCGTCATCGGGTCATTTTTTATTTTTGGAGAACATGGGATGAGCCCATTTCGGTTCGCCCAACGTCGTGCGGACATCAGCCTGAGGATTGGAGGTGGAGGATAGGTTAAATCCTCCATTGTCGCTAGCGTTGTGAGATGGCTTCGGTAAAACAGTGCGCTAGAAAACCATTCGATAGCACGCTTTAAATAAGAGTTGGCGGATGGAGTTGTACAAGAGCCCGCGTCGCGAACATGGGAAACGCGAAATCAGAATTTGAGACAACGATAAAGCTGAGGACAGATGATTAGTGGGCATGACTATCGTCTCCTCAATTCCAGTATGTACCTGCTTTGACATTCGTCCGCTAGTGCAGACTTCATTAGCAGCGGGAGATGAGCATCGATGAAGGTCCGGGAACGGTGTTGCTTGCGATGTAGAGACGAGAACGCCATTGCGCTGACAGATAGATTTCAGTCTCATCCACGAAAAACATCGCGACACATACTTCCCAAGCAATTTTTCGTTTAACTGAAAAGTTACATCCAGCTCTTGCCAATGTTCCCATTCCCATCCCAGCGAGGACATCATGGCTCAATGGTTGCTGCGAGAGATACGATTCTGAGATGATGTAGGGCTGCAATAACGGTATTAGTGCCGTCCCTTGAGGAGGCGACTCAGAGGATTCAGTCAGGAGGGTCTTGAATTGCACTCGCTAGAAGCAAATGGAATGCCAGTGAGGACCCCGCCTCTCGAGGAAAAACACCAGCGCAATCGAAGAGAATACTTAGAATGCACGATAGCGCGAGACAAACCTTGCTATTATCTGAATGTTTGACTGGTGTATTGGGCCAGCATATTAGCCGAAAGGAACGTCGACGACGAAGCTCTTGTCGGAACACAAACGGAGCTGGTAGCAGACAGCAGCGCAGAATACTAGTATGTGGGAGAACTCGCACGATGAAGGGGAGGTGAATAGCCGCAAGGCTAAAGACAGGAAGAGAGTTATTGTCTCCTGCAAGCATGGAAATTCAAGCAGCGACGAAGATGGGGGCCAGACGGCGAACGTTCGAACGGAGAACTGGGTTCAGGATGTCACGCCGACCTACACTTATTGATGAGCACCCACTTGAGTTTCGCAACTTCCAGCTTAGAGAAATGCAAACCCGATCCCAACAACCCTCTCAAAGCCTCGGATTCTGAACCATCTATGCCCCAATAACTACAAGGACGCGACCACTAGTTCGAATGCTGTGTCCGTCGCCGGCTGTCATTAACACACAAGGCATCTTCACCTCTTCCCATGAGTCTGCCAGACTTGCTGACGGCGGAATGCGACGAGGTAGGACCCAGTTGCATCCCAGAGGGGTCATCGTCGGTGCGGGGGTTCTGTGCTTGGAGTAAGACGGCAGCAATGTCGGTGCAAAATGCCGTTGTCACGGATTTGGCGTGGTGGGCCGAAGGAGATACAGTCCTGAAGCACCAATTCATTCTGCTTCGACTCGAACACCAACCCAAGGACAAGAGCCTGGAGGACAGCACATTTCCCAACTTCTACGATATCAAGATCGAAAGACTGGGAAAGCATTTCCCAAGTTTCTCGATGCTTGCCTCAGACACCGTCACTGTCGAACGTGTACCACCTTTGCTCGCTTGGAAGTCGCGGTTTCTGCGTGACCATGTTTTGTTCTTCGCCCATGTCTCCCACCTGAGCTTCGTCTTGCCCGCAACGTACATGGAAGTGACCAAAATACGTATGTCATTAACCCAGTTTTTTTTCTCATTGATTCCTTCAACAACTTGACCCAGCTCCCTTATATTTATATCGAGCCTTTAACGATGCTCTTGACCAACATCGTTGTGGTCCCCCTCTACTTCTGCGAGACCTGACGCGTTATCTCGAGATACTTTCTGCGCAAAGTCCTAATTACAGTCTTACCTCAAGCAACTGCTTTTGGTATGCCCGACTTCTCTTCCACATCATCTCCCTCCGACACTACTCTTTCCCAATCCTGGCGACCTCTTTCCCTCCAGAAAAATACCTCATTCCTCGCGGTCGACGAATTCCTGCGGACCAAATGAAGCAAATCGCGCAATCACAGGACTGGCTGACACATGACCCCTCATCTACCGGCCACATATTTCGTTTCCTCCACTATGAGGAGTGGAGAAATGGCATCCTCATGTATCGGCGACTCATTCGGTTCCTAGCGGCGGCTATCATCGTTGCAACTACGGTGGCCGTCTCATATGGACTCTTCCGCGGCTTCTTACTCGGCAACTCGCGCAAGTCAAGTGTAGCATACGCTGTCCTCTGTTCGGTTCTCCCCTTGTTTGTGGGGTATGCCCTTAGCTTTGTCGCGGTCCGGAACGCCGTCACGATCCTCACGCAATGGCAGATCAGGAGAAAAATGGAGACACTTCTTCAGGATTTGGGTAAGTAACCTCCAAGCACCACTATTTGACATATTCATAATGTGTTTGTAGGCACTGCGGATTACACCCCACCACTGTTTCCACTCAAGTCCGTTGCGCAGCGCGTGTTTTACTCCAAAAAATATCAAACCTATCGGTGGTTCGTGCCCGCAAGAGTCGCAGGCGATAATGTGAGCATTTGAGAAACCAGTATTTTTACTCAAGTTTCCTCAGAAGTACTGGTCACCATACGATGCCGCGCGTCTTCAGGCATACACGCGCATTGAACATGTCGATGGTCTTACCGCCCAAGATGTCCTTCAAGATAACTTATGTCCTCAGCTCGTGCATGCTTGGTTCGTCCAGTTAGCTTTCTATTCCGCCATTCACGTTTGTTCTACATAGTGCTACCTTCAAATCTCGGGACGCTGCGAAGACAGAAGGATGTCTTGTCCTGCTAAACACCCTCGCAGAGACACCCGATGGGGCCCAAGCCATCGTCGACGCCGGCCTGCTTCTCGTGGCGTATTCCCTGTTTCGGGATTCGCCGGAACAGAACCGTGATTTGGTGGAGGAACTGCTCACCAAACTAGGGCAGCATCCGCAAACCGCCTCCGTCGTCAAGTCGTGTCTTGTTTGCTTCGAGTTCCGGGGTGTGATGGGTCTGTGGATAGTTATTCCCGAGATGGGACAGCGATATTTGCGGGGGTGATATGGAATTCATACTACGTTGCAGCACTACCGACCGCAGAGCGAATCCCTTTACTCAGTGTACTTGGCAAGGAAACAAGATCATTCTCAACTCTGTGCCTAGCGAAGAACACCTCCAAGCCAGATTACCCCATGCTTATAACTTAGAAATACGAGGTTGAAGGAAACGGTCGCGTTGGGGATGAGCATAGGAGCCGTAGGCACCAGTTGAATGAGAGAGAAAAGAGATGGCCTTGCGACCCCGATCATATTCATTCAGCAAGAGAGATCAGCTCCCCGCGCAATGCAATGGGTAATGTACACGGTTCAGATGCGGGAGAAAGAAAGATCGTAAAAAGACACATGCGAGGAGGGTATGCAATTTGCTGGTATTAAAAAGACCGCGGATGGACAAAGCAAATGCATCACAAAAAGCAGATCTAAGTGAAAAGATGAAGCGTCCGTATTACGGCCTTAGAGCGACTGGAAACCGAGATAAGCAAGTGGTTGGATTATCGGAAAAGAGACTCACCCTTGGGCGACCCTTACCACCCCGGCGACCCTTGCCTTTGCCTTGGCCTTTGCCCTTTGCTGCTTGACTGGAGATGGTGTAAGCAATTCGACTTGCGAGAGTACGACTAGAAACTCACGCGGCGTTTCCACCTTTGTTCTGGCCTTGTTGAGCACCCTTGTTCTGGTTCTGTCCTTGAGCGGCGTTACCCCCCTTGTTCTGGTTCTGCGCCTGGCCCTGAGCAGCGTTGCCTCCCTTGTTCTGGCCATTGTTGGCAGCAGCACCACCGGCGGCAGCGTTGTTCTGGCCCTGAGCGGCGTTGTTGTTGCCGCCCGCACCGCCAGCAGTCGCAGTAAAGTAAACAACATCATCGAGAAGACCGTGTTGAGCAACGGGGACGATGGCCGGTTGATGGGTGGCGGAAGAAACGATCGTTCCCATGCGGTAGGCACCTGGTGGGACACCGCCAGCAACGGTAGCCGTGACGATGCCCTGGGCATTCTGACCGCCGTCGATACCCTTGAAGAAGAAGAACTTGGTCGGGTCCGTGAGTTGTGTCGACGTGAGCGAGTCGATTTTCTCGATAACGACGTGGGTGTGGCCAATGATTTGACCCTGGTTGTTGAGCGTCTGGGGGTTGGCGAAGTAAGTCTTCTGGGCATTCGTAAAGTCGCCGAGCTGGATGTTCTTCACCGCAAGCTGAACAGTGAAGGTCTGGTTGGCCGTGAGGTTGTCGTTGTTCTTGGGCGATTCTGGACATGTTGAGATCAAAAGAAACACAACACAGTGAAAGAACTCACGGAATTTGCTCGAGGGCATCTTGGCCTTAGCAGGGATTTGGCCGATGGGGATGGGGTTGCAGGAACCAGCTTCGATCTGCTGGCCAGAGGTGATAGCAAGGTTGGGGGTCTGGAGGCAGAAGTTGATGAAGTTATTGGCTGAGACGAGGGCAGCGGATTGTCCAGCGACCGGTGGGTTCTGACCATTGTCGGTCTTGGAGAGGACACGGGGATCAAGAGTCAGAGATGCTTGGGCGTTTCTAGGAGATGAGTTAATTTTGGAGTGAAAGAGAGGGACAAAGAGAGAAAACGCACCCGTTGTTGGCGGCAGCTCCACCACCAGCATTGTTCTGGCCCTGGTTGGCGTTGTTCTGGCCGTTGTTTTGGCCGTTGTTCTGCCCCTTGTTGGCGTTGTTGTTCTGGCCGTTATTTTGCCCTTTGTTGGCGTTGTTCTGATATCCATCAGCATCACGGACGGAGATGACGGACGAAAAAAACGTACCTTGGCGGCCTTGGCAGCGGCAGCCTTCTGGGCAGCAGCCTGAGCGGCCTGAGCATTCTTCTGCTGGTTGTTCTTGTTCTTATTCTGCCCCCTGTTTTGACGAGCGACGAGACCCGCATCCTCTGGGACAACGAGAGCCGTGACGTCGGTCACAAGGCAAACGATAGCGACAAGAACCGAAAACGAGGAAGAGAACTTCATGCTGGATGAACCGTGGATTTCACTGAAATCTGAGAAGAAGGAATGTGTTGGCAGGTGAACCGTATACTAGCTAACTTGGCGGAGGAGGTCAGTAAGAGACCGTCGTAAGAGGATAGGACGGACTCACAGACTGAACGAAGCCAGGCAGCACGGCTGCGTTGAAAGTGACGAAGGGGGAGGGAAGGGAGTAAAAACTGATGCGCGTGAGGCAGCTTGAGGCTTTTATTGGCTAGCCTCGTAGCCGATGTGGACAGTCGCCACGGCGACTGATGATGAGGACTAAGTAGACCGAAAATAGACATCACAACCAAAACTATGTAACCGGGGCCTTTCTGACAATTCTTATTTCGTCGTTGCTATTCGCCGGCAAAATAGATAGTGCTACAATCAAGCTACAATTTCATAAGCTAGCGAATTTTCTTGCATCGTTCAACCTCGCACATAAAGCTAGCCAACGTCTCGACTTCCTCTCTTCCAGTCAGTGGAGAGAGTTCAGTAAAATGCCTCTCGGCAACGGCAGCCAATACACTGTGCAATTCATCCACATCAGACATGATAGGCGGCCGACCCAGTGTGTCGTCGTCCAATAGGCGAGAGCTTCGTCTTCTTCCCAGTTGATGTGATTCCCGACGTGATCTGTTCGCCGTGTTTGCCTCGCCCGGGGGACTCGGAGCTTGGGAAGACTGCCGCTCAAGTGAGGCCGGTGGGGGAGGGTCATGGGCGGATATTGGAGAAGGATACACGTCAGGAACAAGGTCGTAGTGCGCCAGATACCGATATAACACTGCCTAATTGTCAGTCCATTGGCCCGCCCAAGGTCGAAACGCGACTCACCAGGTGTTGGCATCTTGATAAACTCGACCTTACAGGCACTCAGCCAAGAGCAAGTATGCAAATCACCACTCACCAGCGACGACCGCACGTCTTCCACAACCATTGCGGTCGTGTCTACAACGCGTTTCCGCTTCGTTCGTGGCTCTCCATCCACTCGATCCACTGCATGTCGTTTCACCCCCGCTCCAGCGCTGAAATACGCGGCATCGTCGTGCTGGACTTTCTTCCGTCCCCCCGGGCGCGCTCGGGCTGGTGGCAGAGGTTGTGGTGGAACAGACATTGTCGTGCGCGTCGAGATTGAGATTGTGTGACGGGCTGTTATGCTGTCAATCACACTGTCAGGTGCCGGATCATATTTTACGCAGGCCGACGTCAACCGTTCTTTTGGTTCAAAGAGCATATTTTTGGGGGCGTGCTATGTTTAGCTCGCGGCTTTGGGGCTCAGGTCCCAACCATCTGTCCCGCTTGCGACGAGATGCCCGAATTCCAACCGAACTCACTCAATGTCCCTCGCGGGTCCAATATTCTTGCGAAGCGTGTCAGTAGCACGGCGCGTTTTGATTCGCGGAGTTTGCTAGCGAATCCGGAAGCAACAGCAGTCGCCGACCAACTCGGCGCCATGGTGGAGGACAACCTACTTAAGTAGAATGACTGCAACAGAGTAGTATATTACTATGTATTGTAACCTAACTACTGCCTGGTTTTTGCGCGAGTTACGCACCGAACATGCGTGCTTTCTTTCTTTGGCCCAGGAATTTGAAGCCAAGCAGTCAGAGCAGCGAATGGCATAGACAACCCGGCAGTTGTCCCGTCGCGATAGACACGAGCTGCAGATCCATCCAACCGTGATCTTGACCCCGTTGCCCATCCAAGAGAATTACAAGACTCAGCAAACTATGTCGGTATGCATTGCGCTCGGAGGGAGTGAGAATAATAGCCCGCGTGAGCAAATTGTAATTCGAGTGGTAGTTGCATTAGCGATGTCGAGACCCATAAATAGGTACTTGAGTACTTTTGAATAGCGTGGATATGATGGGTGAGAATACAGATGGGAAACCCATGAGATATCCTTCGGACTGCTGTTCTTGAGGCTGGATTGTTCGCCAAGACCTGATAGAGGTGTGTTCGCTGTTTTTGATGACTTGCCTAAGCCCAGTCGCAAGTTGGCTTTCGTCGTCGACAGCGTTCCCCGGCGATTGCGGGTACGATTGGCGGAGGCAATAAAAGCAAGTTCGACGCAGGGCCTGGAACATCATTCCATTACCTGAAGCACAACATTGACTAGTACTAGGACTGTCTGAAGAGTTCTCGATGGAAGTGGGGCACTTTATCGTCCAGTGTATTGACTGGAACGAGCTCCCTGCGTCGGAGATGAGACCATCTTTCTGATGCGCCATATAGAGAAGCTTGTAGGTCAACTTGAAATTTGAGGCACGATTAGTCATCAGGTTCTTGAGCATTGTGGAAAGCGGTTCTTGGTAGAGTCACGGTAGTCCTCCTTGGAATAGACCAGTCCCGCAAAATTATTGAGAAGACTTGGATGCGAAACTTGAAGCAAGATTGTCTATAGTGTCACGCAGTGACCGAGGTCAATGAAGATGACTCCGCACAAGCGCTTACGACAGCTCTCCCTTTGACCAGCCTTAGCAATGGAATGCTTGAACTGCAATCTCAAGCAGCGGCAGTTCTACTGCACTAACTGCATCCGGGCTCAGTAAATCTTGCTCGAACTCTGCCCAATTTGAACTAATCGCCACCAGTACAAGAGATTTCCGCGTTAAATCGCAACATATTACGCCGGAACGCGACGAACAGGTTGCTCGTGCCAATAAGGCGCTTGAGGGGGTCAAAGGGGCGAGAGAGCGACGGGCCGGAGTTGCACAGATTCAGTTAAGAGTCGATGAGCTTGTGGGTGCTCTTGCCAGGTTAAGGAAGGATAATGACAAGAGTGCGCTCTCTCTCCTCCTCCGCTAACCTAACTTATATCTTGGAAGAGCGCGACCGACTACGAAGTCTGCGCGAATCCTTGGCTGAGCGTCGGAGAACGCTTGCTGCAGCAAATGCGCTGAATGTCGCCACTCCGAATCCGAGCACGATCCATCCCTCACTTACTGCACCACTTAATGCTCTCACCACTCTTTCGGCTTTCATTTCGCGCGCGCGATCTGGACTCGTGCAAGAGCTCGTTGAGGTGTTCAATATCGTGGAAGTTGGCGGAAGACCGCCTCTTGGGGGTAAAGCTGGCTCTGCCGGTCAATGGACAATCGGAGACCTAATTCTGCCTGTTCCTGGCGATGTCAGACGTTACCCACCGCAACATATCAACGCCGTCTTAGGGCACACAATTCATTTCATTAATCTGTTGAGCTTTTATCTCGGTGTTAAACTGCCGTTCAATGTGCAGTGGGAGGGAGGGAAACTTGGTGTTGGGGTGCCATGGATTGGACCTGGAATCGGCGGATGGGGAAGGTAGCGGGTTTTGTCCTGTTTAGCTGCGTCATTGACTGAAGACCGTTTAGGTGGACTGCGAGTCACCCTCTGCATCTCTCCTTGACTGCAGCACCAACACCAGCTGCTCCGCCGCATATTCGTGCGGCACAACCAACAGATCTTTCCCTTTCCCAATCCATATCTCAATCAATCGCCGATTCTCTCATCTCGGCTCGTGATACTTTCGTTTCCCGCACTCCTTCCACCGCTTCGAAACCCGCAACCTCATCACCACTAGCGACACAGAATCCCGCACCTCCAGCACCGAAATCACACTCACCTGAAACGACGCCTGCATTCACAACAGGCCTTGCCATGCTCCTCTTCGATGTGTTATATCTGGCACACACACAAGGACTAGCGATTCCACTTGCTCAAGCAGGCGATGTGCTGAGTAATCTTTGGGCAATATGTTGTGCAGCGGAATTGGGACGGCGTGCCCATTCAACGGTCAATATTGTCCCAACGACGAATGCAGGGTTCTCTCTGCAGAGACTACCTACTCCATCACCTAGCACAGTACCAGTCGACTTTGCGCACGTGGTGCAAGCTGTTGTGGGTGGCGGCGGACGAAGGGCTGCGATTGGTCGCGTCGGGTCGTCCTCAAGTGTTTCTCCCACTGCATCGAGTACAAAGGAGAGAGGAAAGAGGAAAGAGAACGTAAAGGCGGAACGAGAGGACGAAGACGGCTGGGATTTAGTTAGCGAAGAAGGATATTAGTCAACTCTGTATTTCGTATACTGACACTACTCTCTGTGATATAAACAACATCGAATTCTTGAGGTAGAAACCAAAGAGCGATTCCTCAACAGCGTGAGAGCAAAAGACACGGACACGTGACTTACTTAGGGGGACAGGCTTGAGCACCGACGCCTGGCTATCTCCTGGAAGAACTTCTAGAGAGAAGGGTTCCATCCCTTGGGTGTCAGAAAGTACCTAGTTGGTTCAACTTGAACATCCGAATCATCCAGGTCAGTCAACAAACAACTCAATTGAAGGACTTGCAAGGGAACGGACGCACTGGCCGGCGTAATGGTACTTCGCCGCTCAGGAGCGAGCCACACACCATTCCCATAGATTTACAGTAAGACTGGCGAGCACAGGATGTGATCGGGCTCATATATCTGTGGGCGTTCGCGTGACGGTGTGACATTCGTCTGTTGAACCAGAACAACCATGTTCCTCTTCAGAACTGTTCGCCGTCTGGCACCTGTCTTTGTCGCTGCCTGCGTTTCCCTGCTTGCAGGAGACAATAACCCTCTTCCCGTGTCTAGCCTTGCTGCTATTCGCCTTCCCACTCTTGAGCCACTCGTGGCCAAGTCTGTTCTCGTCCTAGACAACGCCACTGAGGCTGTCGTCTTCAAAGCCCCTGCTGTTCGACACCGTCTCCCCATCCTCGAGTCGCTTGTCCTCTCTCACATCCGCATTTCCCCCGTTTGCGTCGCTGGGCAACCGTTCGCCAGCAGGACCTTCTCCGGCAACCACACTCTCCTCTTCCTTGGTAAGGGAGACGTGTCAGCCTTCTCCCTCCCTCTTGTTGTTCCAACTCAAGCTGCGCAACCGATCGCCACCAGCATGGACTCGACAACGGTCTTCACTCCGTCGTCCCTGCAAGTCGCGCTTCCGATCGCTACCGACAGCACACGAGTTTACTGGTCCTTCACTGGCACAGATGCCGCGCTGCCGCTCGCAACTGGCTCTATTCGTGCTTCGACAACTACCTCGTCCTCTGCCCTCGTCACAGCCAACGTCGACTTGTCTCACTCTCGACCATCCGCCGCGCAACCGTTCGCAACCGGTCCTGTTGAATTTGATGATTCAAGTCAAGAGCGAGACAATTCCAAGGCTACGACGTTTTGGTTCATGTCGCACGAGATCGTATTCGAAATGCTTCTTTCGGTTGCCCTAGTATTTCTGTCGAGAGAAGAGGTCTCCTTCCGGTCTATTCTCCTGCAAACGTCCAAGGCTGTTGTCGTGTCTTTTGCCCCCCAAGTTCCAGTCACGGATCCTGTCGTCGCTGCTTTTGCTCAAATCACCACGTCGTTCCTCCTGCAGCAACTACTTGACCACGTCCTCGCTGGAACAGAGGCTTTTGCAAGACCGGAATGCGGGAGTGCCAAGTTTGTGATTGAAGTCCTTGATCAGGTATGTGTTCTGCTTTCGTTTTGTGAATCCAGCTAAACGCTGTCGACTAGCTATACAATACCCTTGTTCTCTGCATCGCGTTAAACACGGCTAATCATGTCCTGACTACTACCGTCGTCTTCGTACCAATTGTTTGCATGACCATTTGGAGCAAGACGACCAAGACCGAACTGATCGCGAACTTCTTGCCTTCGGAATTCTGGCTGAACTACGATGACCATAATAGCTTGTTCAACATGGCGACCGACATATTTCCTGACATCCTCTCGCAGTCTGCTTTCCTGACTGTCGCTTGTAATGGAATAGCGAGACAGGTGCTGCTTGGAATCGAAGCAATAGTCCCCAATACGGTATGTCTTGACCTTCGGTATTGACAAATTGCTCACTGAACGTTTTAGACACAATATCTCGTGGTCCCTCTGCTTACGGGGGCTGTTGCACAACTCCGTCCAGTAACACTCTATATCGTTTGGGGTGCGCTATTGGCAATTGTTTGGGTAGGCCTTGTCTCTGCCGTTTTAATCCATGTTGACCCAGTCTTTAGCATATTCGTCGAAACCAAAACCATCCACCATCACCTACCAACGACGAAAATCTAAATGCATCTCATCCTCTTCCATCTCGGAAGCGACGCCATTCAAAGCCAAGTGCCAACAATCAGGGTTCAAGCCCATCTCCTTCTCCCATCACACCCGCCCAAGCTGCGAAACTTGCAGCAGTCAAACCTTCGCGGTATAACCGCGCGGTCTTCAAACAGAAGAAGACCAGCAAGAGATGAAATGGCCGACCTTGTTCTCTTTCCAACGCCAGCAAACCGTGATGTCGCGATGAACGGGGGACGCCCCGTTCGTTGCACATTATGGTTTGTAAAGATTCTGGCCTCAAGGGCGGACGCGTTACAATTGAGGCGGAATCCTGTTCAAGGAAAGAGACAGGTTAGAGGTCAATATTCTCAGTTTCCTTGCTTCATCTTTATCATTATCTTTATTTCTTCATACCACGGATACCTTGCATTGTACCATAGACCGCTGCATGAAATAGAACAACCATTAAAATTTTTTGGGGGAGTAAAGAAATCAAAGTCACGCTCGGAATTCTTGCCTTGCTGCACCATGACTTCCAGATGCACTCGAGCTTTTCGCAACGTTTAGGATATCCCAGCGTGCGCTGTGGCTAGGTGTTGGAATTTTGGCACCAGTGCGTTTTACTTCTGACCACGGACCGAACGTGTTGAGCTCAGTCATTGTCTACCTCTCAGTCTGGGCATTGGGCTGATGTGAGAGCACCTCGAAATCGTCCGGAGACAAGTTTCGAGTCGAAGATTGGGTCCTTGACTGACGTGCGGAGCGAATGGAATCGTGGCGGGAAGGAGACCTCGGAGTAGACCGCGGTCATGCTGCATCGTCCAGTCCACAGACCTCTAAAGCAACCAGTCTGGTGTAAATGAACTCTTCATCATCATTCACACTTTCTTGTCCCCTGTCCAACTGCCTTGCGCTGCCGAAGCGTCACCAAGACTCATCGGGCCTCGTATAAAGCAACGTTGATCTTTCCAAACAATCATCCTTCCACTATGCATCAGTCGCACAACGTCGCATGGAATGCCCTCTCATCGAACTTTGTTTTCGTCAAAGACAATCGAAGGGTTACTCCTCATCGCACAGACTTGTGTCCTTTGGGACTCCCCACCCAAGCCAAAGCGCTCAGCCACTTTGCTCGCACCCTCGAATCAGCAATCATAGAATTTTCGACAACAGAACGCGCCAAGTACCCGAATACGTTTCCTGTCCCAAATGACGCCACACTCATCCCCGACGACATTCTAACGCGATACTGCGATCTACCCTTTTCTTTTATTAAGCGCAAAAACCAACAGCTCAAGGAGTGGTTGGCGCAGGCACAAGGCCGAGATGGTTCCTTGCATTACTCCACGAGTCATGGCGGCTTTGCGGACGTTGTCAAAGTACTACTTGCCGAAAATGAGATGGAAACCCTCCTCATGCTCGCACAGCACCCTAAGGTCCCTCTCCAAGACCTCCACTATCTCTCATGGGGCCACAGCTTCGGGTGGGATCACGTCTGCCATTGGGCGCTCCCAAGCTACATCTTCTTCAACGTGCTGCTCTCCAAACCAGAGCTCCTGGAGAACGACAAGTATCGCTCGCTACGGAGCTTCACGTACGCCATTCGGATGGCAACAGCCTCGGGTGATTATGATGCCCAGTCTTACCCACACCGGGCGTTCTTCTGGGGGAGTTTTGATCGAGACAAGCCCGTTGAGGAGAGCGACCCGTTGTCGGACCCCGAGAAGCTCCACGAGTATCTGAAAATGTGCTTCCGGCTTCTGTACCGGTATGGTATGCTGGCAAAGGAATGTGGATTGAAGGTGGATTGGGAGGGAGAAATTGCCACGGCGGTTCAATGGCTTTGGGACGTTAAAACTCGATCGCTGAAAGGCCCCGACGGTCATTGGATAACTCGGTTTGCCTGTTAGTAGACTTGCCCATAAATGCTTCATGGCTCTTGTTACTTCTCGATACCAACCACCCGCGCAATGTCCACCGCAACATCGACCACTTGTCTTATCTGATGTACACTGTAAATCGAGATCAGAGTGACATAACGCTTGCCTTCTACCATGACTGCACGTTTTCCGCAAGAGTTGCTTGAGCTTGTTGTGGACAAGTTAGCCAGCATGCAGGACATCAAAGCATGCGCATTGGCCGGAAGGGTCTTGCTACGTTGCGCCAGAACTCACCTCTTTCGCAAAACCAGAATTGTCCCGCCAGTGCATTCTAGTTCGAGTTCAGACCTTGTACAAGAGCGCGGAGCGACGTCTACGGAGCTCAAGCAGTGCTTAGCGTCTAGACCTGGAATCGCACGCATGATACAGCATCTCGAAATTGTCACTGTTGGCGCTGAGACGAGTTTCCAGTATGACGAAGACGGACAATACCTGGAGGAACGGCAGATACCCTGGATCATGGCGGATGAGCATTTAGCAACGATCTTACCCCTTCTTTGCTCATTGGAGCATATCGCGCTAATCGAGAACGCGCCAGCGGAATGGAATAGTATTGGACAGTATTCTCTGGACTGGACCGCGCTCGGTGAGCCGCTTCGCCACGCGCTGACCGCAATATTTGCTTCTAGATCGCTCCGGTCTGTGCATATCCGCGGGTTGGTTATCCAGTCGCCAGTTGGGTTGCTCGCACTTTTCAGTGAAGCCACTTGCCTGGTCGCGCTTTCGCTTTCCCGCATCCACTACACACAACACTGGGATCAGCGGGATCCATGGCCCCCAGCAGCAACGTGGGCACCGAAAATCGAAACATTGCGACTAGCGGATTTGGACAGCGACGTGACCTGCCGCTATTTCCTCCACTCACAAATCGACCTGAGCCGTATCACGTCGTTCACGCTGGCCACCGAAAACCCCGAGTGGCGGAGCGAGTTTGTAGACGTGGTGGCCTGTCAGCGCCCTGCCCCGCTGACACATTTAGCACTCTGGGTTATGAGGAATGATGGTGGGTTCAGTTTCATATCTCTTACGGTTGCTTTAAAGCTATTGTTAGTGTCGCAAATGTCAACCTGGCTGTCATACGCGCACACTACAGGTCATCTGCGCTCGCTGCACCTCTTCGCCATTGACCTAGACGGTCTAATGCTACGCTGCACCAGCCTGCCATTGACCGTCCCGTCTCTCGAGTTGATTATTCTGGAGGCCATGGCGCCGCCCAGTGCCGCCGCATGGACGGAGGCGCTAGAAGGTCATTCATGGACTGCTGATCTCAACATCTCTACACTTATTGAGGTCGGCAGCTCTCGCCTGCAGCGCTTCGAATTCAGGCTCCACTTTCCCGCGCAAGAATCCCAATGTTTGTCGTTTGCAAAGTGCACCACTCTAATCCGGCATTCTCTCCGCGGACTGCATCAGGCGGGCGTGCTCTATATCGTCCAGTCTCGAGGTGCATATGTTGTGTTTGGCTTGGAATAAACTAACTAAATCGGCGCGAGTAGGCAACGACAAAGGGCCGCATGACGATTGGGAATAGCTACCATCGTCTGTGAGAGTTTCGATGTGTTTGAACTTCAACGTCGTCTTCATAGAGCACTGCAAGCTAAGCACCAAGCACTGTCGAGATTCGGTCCAACGCGGATGTAGGAGCGAGCCAGAACAGGATTCGCTTTCGCGTCATTAGACGGGTGTTGACTCCCAGACATTCGTAATACAGATCTTTTTAGATTGACCAGTCAAAGCGAGTAGACATCAGTGGGACATTCGAAGAGAAGCAAGCCTATTGTCAATGATAGAGTCCCCATTAACGTGTCGATCTCCAATTCGCAGCTGCAGAAAGGCGCATCGCTGGCTAAGCGATGAGTGAGGAGCGGTCGCCTTGCTGACAATTTAAAGCGCAGACTTGCCCCCCAGTAGAAGCTAGTGCATCGGAGGAGCAACGAAATTGAAGCGACAAGAAACACGAAAGGAAGTGTCAAGCCTAATTGTGGCGATGACGCGGGAAGGGAAGGGAAGCGCAAATCATTCAAGGTGTTCAACGCCCTTGCTCTTCGCATTCACGGCCATCCCGAGATTGCAGTCGTCGACTACAGCCGTTCGCCCAAGCTTTACCTAGAAGGCAATACTTGGCCCTATCACATGCACTTTTGAGTATAACAAGTGATGACATGGCCCACGCGGGTCCTGAGTTGCCTCCTCCCTCGATGGCTACAGACGATGCCGCTGCTCCTCCAAGCGGCCTCATTCTCTCCCTACTCCCGCCGAAACCCTACTCTCTTGCCATCACAAACCTAACCATCGGTGCACCAGCTTCGAAGCGACGTGTTCTACCGTTTCTCAAGGGAAGGAAGAGGGATTCAGAGGGCTCGTTGCCCGAACCAGCGGCAATCGTACGTTCCGCCTCTGGGACCTGTGGTGCCGGGGAAATGCTTGCAATCATCGGCGGTTCAGGAAGTGGTAAGCAAACTTGCTCATCACACAAAACGTTCTAAACACAAGAGAAAGGCAAGACAACGCTGCTGAATGCTGTCGCAGGAAGATTACACGGACTACCTATCCTAGACGGCTCCATATCCTTCACGCCAGCCAGCGAGCAACAGAGAAAGACTGCCAAGGTATCGAAAATCATTGGTTTTGTGCGCCAGAACGACTATCTGCTTCCCCACCTGACGGTTCGAGAAACGCTACTGTTCTCGGCTGCCCTTCGTCTGCCCAAGACGGTGGAGAAGAGTGCCGTCCGTCAAATTGTAGAGCAAACGATCGAGGAGCTTGGGCTGAAAGAATGCGCGGACACGGTGGTCGGTGGAATCTTTCGCAAGGGAATCTCTGGAGGCGAACGCAGGTGGGACTTCTCTCATTGATGGTATAACAAGTCCCTGACCTGAATAGACGTCTCTCCATCGGTTGTGTCCTCGTCACTATGCCCTCGGTGCTTATTCTAGACGAACCGACAACAGGACTCGACGCGACTACGTCTTTCGTACTTCTGCAAACTCTTTCTGAGCTGGCCAAACGCCATTCACGCACAATCATCCTCTCGTTGCATGCTCCACGCTCCGATGCCTTCTCTCTTTTCGATCGTCTCATGGTCCTTTCCAAAGGCGACGTTGTGTATAGCGGTAGAGGGGAAGACAGTCTTGCGTGGTTCGAAGGGCATGGCTGTGAACTTCGGAAGGAGACAAACCCGCTTGGTACGTGAGCAATCATCACCAATCCTTGCCTGAAGCGCTTATGGGTGATGTAGACTTCCTGATCGATGTCACCAGTATCGATAACCGCTCTGCAGACCGCGAGGAAGAATCAAAGACTCGCGTTGCTGCACTCGTACAAGCTTGGAAAGATCGCGATCCTAAAGACCAAGCACCACCACCATTTCAACAGGTCGCTATCGCCCATACGATCTCCCGAACATCTCAGTCTCATGGCGGGCTGGCGGCAGACGAGGAGAAGGACATACAAGCTCGACCGGGAATCATCCAGCAGACAACCATCTTGCTACACCGCTCACATTTGAACGTCTATCGCAACTTGGGTCAGATTGCCGGGTTTCTGTTGCAGAGCATCGGCATCGGAGTGTTTATGGGCTTGACGTATTTCAATCTCAAAGGAAATCCAGCGGATATTCAGAGCTTGAAGGTGCGGTTTTCCACCTGGATCCTACCGTATCTAAGCACTTTCAGGGCGCTTCTTTCCAATTTTTCCCGGGATTTTGGTATTTAACTCAAGTTTGTGTTGCGTCCAGCCGTCTTCAAATCTCATTGGTATAGGTTTACTGGATCTACAAGTACTGCAACGACTTGATCATTTTTGATCGAGAACGAGAGGTATGTCGAGTGACATATTCCATTATGGTGTGTCCGACATTGCTCTCTAGGACCGGCTTTACGTGCGTTCAACCACAACATAGTGATGGGCTTCCCTTAATCTACGGCAGAACACGTTTCCCTACATTATCGCTGAATTTATTGCCACTCTTGTACCAACAACCATCCCCCCTACCATATAGTGAGTCCTTTCCATTTTTTTTGGCTCGGAATTCACCATATATAGTGCTGTAATATGTGAGGTTCAGAGGATTGAGTTGAGACATCACACTCAACAACACCAGTTTATCTGCTCAGTAATATGCGCCGCGACGATTTCGCCGCCAACATCTTCATCGTAGTCGCCAACGTAAGTTGTTTATACTCCCGTTTCTATTTTGACAGGCTCGATTAGGCCATATGCATGCAATGGTCGACACAGGGATTGGCTCTCATAGCCGCATCTATCTTCGTGTGTATTATCAGCCCCTCCTCGTTGTGCTGCTCAAGTTCTTCAGCGTGGTTTCCCCCAAGCTTCGATGTGTGCCAACGCTTTATCGCTATTCTTTACGTAAGGCAATTGACGCTCTGTTTCCGCATGACTGACATCCTATTCACAGTCTTTCTGCTGGATTGTGAGCTATCATGATTCTGATGTGTCGTGTTCATACCAAGACCCCAGCTCGTTAACTGTGGTGCCCGTTTGGCTCCGCTGGATCAAGTGGATGTCAGTCCTCATCATCAAGGACTGAATGCTTTCTTGACCCAGTTCCAATTCGCAGATCGACCACGTTCTACTCATTCCGCGTCATGGCCATAACCCAGTTCAAAGATCGTACATTCGAATGCGAAGGCGTTACTGGCGTCGCCCTCTCCCAATGTGACGGCAACAATGTTCTGCGCTCTCTTGACTTTAGTGTGGATACACCGCTCATCGTCTATTTTGCTGCAGAAATTGCAATCATAGTTGTGTCGGTGCCGTTCCCCCATTCCTGACGATGCCTCATTGCTTGGCTAGACTGCACTTATTGGCTGGGTTGATCCTGCAATTTTACAAGCCCGGAGGCGTGAAGCACGCCACTGCTACTGGGCAGGACCATCGGGGCAAAGAATCAATGATGGGAGATATGGACATTCCGCGCGCCAAGATCAATGTGGAGGTGGGCTTCTTTAACTTTCCTTTTGCAAACCGCAATCCGACTACTTTGTAGGTCCGCAACCTTGGCTTCAAATGGATCAGCTCCGGCCTCCCCTTCGGTATTCGCCGCGCGGAAACGAAGCCAATACTCAACGATATTTCGACCTACTTTCCCGCTGGCGAGATTTCTGCGATCTTGGTGAGACGACCATAATTTGTTTGTGTCCTTATATAGCTTATATCTAACAGGGTCCGTCTGGTGCCGGAAAATCGACCCTGTTGCAGCTACTCGCCAATCGGAAACTCAATGCAGGACCCAACGCGCATTTCGAGACGAGTGGAGAGCTCTTGTTTAATGGTTTACCGGCAACGGACGACGTGCGCCATTCGGTTGCATTTGTGGAACAGGAGGACGACTACCATCTTGTTCGCGATTCTTCCTTTTCGTTCCTACACACTAGGCTGACGCCATATACAGAGCGCCTTGACTGTGCGAGAAACGTTTGTTCTGGGTAATCACATGACATTATCTAATCTTTTGGCAGGCTTCGATATGCTGCGATCTTGAGATTACCAGCCAAAATGAGCAGTCAGTGTCCCTTCAGATTTAGCATACCTGGGCTAATCGTTCTCCAGAAAAACGAAAGATAGCCCGCGCCGAAGAAGTATTGCTCATGCTGGGATTAAAGGATTGTGCAGATGTGCTTGTTGGTGGCGAATTGCTCAAGGGCATTTCTGGCGGAGAGAAGAGACGGTGAGTTTATACCGGTTCCCTCCCTTGATATATTAATGACCATTTAAGTTTGTCGCTTGCTGTCCAGATGATCAGTGACCCCAGTATTGTGCGTGCTGCTTTGTATTCGTCATCGAACTCAATATTCCCCAGCTGGTTGTTGACGAGCCTACTTCTGGCCTCGACTCGTTCATTGCGAATGTTTGTAGCTCGGATAGCTGCCAACTTGCACTAATCTTCTCCTAGAACGTTATGGAATGTCTGAAGGATATTGCGCGCAGCGGCCGAACGGTCATAGTCTCCATCCACCAACCGCGTTCCGACATCTTCCATGCCCTCGACAACCTGCTTATTCTCGCCAAAGGCGGCAATGCTGTGTTCAGTGGCAAACGGGAAGAAGCGATCCGTATTATGGACAGTCAAGGCTACCCACTACCCTCAATTTGGTTCAATCCCGCTGAGTATGTTCTTTAAGTGGCTCCATGGTAACTGCTTTAACACATTTCAAGTCATCTGCTCGATCTCGTTACGGTCGACCAGCGCTCAGCACAAGCCGCCTCATCACGTGACCGCGTCAATAATCTCGTCACTTTTTGGAAATCGTATCGAGAAAAGGTCGACAATGGCGACGCACCGAAACCGGAAGGAGTCATCGAGTCTTCGATTGTAGCTGAGGGCCGCTTTACACCAATCTACATTGCGTTTCCCGTCGTTTGGGAGAGGATGTTCCGAAACCTGTGGAGGCAGCGGGATGCGTTTTGGAGTCGCCTTACGCAAACTCCGTTGGCAGGAATACTACTGCTTATGTTCTTTGAAAGGGTGAGCTGCCTTCTAGACCATTAGCTTTCTGACCGTCACCAGCTTCGGTTTGGTCCTACTGCTGGTCAAGATCGAATTGGGTTTGTTTATGTTATGCTGCATTGTTTACGCTGATGCTGTTGGTTAGTGTTGTCCTACAATCTACCTCAGGTATGGCATATATCTAACATCGTTGAGGGTATTGACTTGGCTCCAGCAATCCCTTTCGTTGGCCTGATTGGTGGAATTGCTATCTTGTGAGTGACATTTTCCACGGGACACCAATCTTATTTTGGTAGCCCTCAAGATCGACAACTCTTCATGCACGAATATCGCAGCTCAGCCGCTTACTCGGTTACGACGATGATACTTGCATATTCGTTGATGGAGGTCCCGTTCCAATTTCTGGCGGCCCTAGTGCGTATCACATTCCGCCCAAATCAAGTATCTAACTGCTTTCCAGTTTTATGGTATCTTCGTATGTCCCTCGCTCCTATCAAGATCAGTCGTCTAACACGTCCAGATGAATGTCGCAGTCGGAATGCAAACCAGTGCTCGAATATACTTCGAGTACTGCGTGACTATCTGGGCACTGAATAGCTTTGGAGAGAGCGTTGCTATCATCTTCGCGTCTTTCTTCGATGCCATGGGCTTTGCAGTCTCGCTCGTGTCGACGGTGTTGTCGATGGTGACCCAATTCAGCGGAATTCGTATGTTCTATCTCAGGCTTGACCCGTTCCTCACTTTTCTATCAGTGTCCCTTTCGGTCCCGTATTGGTTACAGATCGTGCGTGTCTTTTCATTTACAACCGACCTCATGAACTGTGTAATAGATTGCTTGGGGAACCCCACTCAAGGTAACATCATCTGCGCTACCTTGACACTACTAACAATTCAACAGGCAACTCAACGACTTCAATTCATCAACGAGTGCTCGGGTCTCCAGTTCCACTGCTCTGAGTCGGACATCGCGCGGGGTGTCTGCACTGCCGTCTCGGGCGAACAACTGTCTGTATCGTTTGCGCTGTGCTTTACAACTTCTGATCCGCTGGAAGGCTGCAATTGTACTCGTTCGATGACCGGAATACCGCGAAGCTGGTTGGGATCGCGGTGTCGTGTGCGGTTGCGTGGCGGCTATTAGCGTGGGCTGCGTTGCGCGCGCGGATGTGGCGGGAGTAATATGCATGACCCCTCGCGGGCCTCGCCGGTTTCCGGATCGAGAGTGGCCTGATGCAGTAAGTATTATGTACATGTCGATGCACCACTGCAGCACCAGGACTTTGAAAACCTGTAGGTAAAGCAATATCTTTGTCCCGAGACTCTCTTCCACATGTTTGCCAGTGCGTGTTTGACCCTGAACCCAGCCTGTGTATCTGAATTCTTGAACTACATAAATGTCACAGAACGTCACATCCAGAACACGCTGTTTTGCATAGCCACACCCATCACGGCAGCAGCCAGGATGTCGCCCACACCAATGACCTACAATGAACCAGACCGTCAACGAGGAGCTTTCCCGCATGGCGGAGACGCTGGAGTCCCTAAAAGCTTCTGCTATAAACTCCATTGAAGACGCGGTACCTATACTATCTCTCTTGCTCTCCATCGCGCTTTTGGAGTCTGGCCGTCCTTTGGATGCAGAACTGGTGTCAGAATCTGTCTGCAGACATATCCTACACACTCGAGACCATCTCTACGAGCTTTTGAAGGCGAATAAGTACCCTTCTCCGCGCATAATTCAATCTGGTATGTTCATGCAGACAACCGCCACCTGTAGTTGACAAACACTCAAGCGTCATTTCCTCTGCTTGTCTCTGGCTCTGCTCGCAAATATCTCGAAGAAACTCGGCCATATGTCGAGAAATGCTCGTCTACCGGCGAGATCTTTTCGCCTTGGCTTGGTCGCGGAAAATACAGTGATCCTGATGTCGTTCGCCATCTTGATTCTTTGAAACTCCCCCGAACAGACGACTTGCAAATTGCTATGCACAATCTCGGGATGTTCAAACAGGACCCTGTGCTGAACGAACGCGTTGAGCGTCTGTTCTCTCCCAGCGACAAGTTGGGTCGCTTGCTTACTGCGATATAACCGTTAATTTGAGGCACAGATTTTTCATCAACGCATCCGGCACCGGAAAGTCCAGATTATGCCACGAGGGACTGTGTTCGAACTGGGGGCTTTACTTCACGTTCACACTCGGCCACAGCAAGCTGGGCAGCCACGACTTTGAGCTCGCCATTCAAACGCATTGTGGATTTCGTGGAGGCTTCAATGACACCGAGTTGGATGATCAGGCAATGCGCGAGCAGAACTCTGCGTGCGCGTTACGATATTTTGGTGCCATCCTGCTAGCACGGCTGCTTGTCTTTCAAATGTTCCTGGAGACAGCCACATCTGGCGAGGGGCTGAAAGCGGAACACAAGGCGCGCTGGCTTCAAACACAGCTGACGGCTCGCCGGTCCACGCGAGTTGGACGCGATGCTTTTAGTTCACTGACCGACTTGCTTGTCGCCAATGATGCACCATTCCTACAGTCAAATATCGACGGTGCTTTGCGGAAAATACGCACAATGATTGGTCCTGACGAGCCTCTTTTCATCGTCTTAGATGAGGCTCATATTGCTTGCGAAACACTCCCGGACGCCTTTGGAGACGGCAAGCCCCTTCTTTGGGAAATAATACGCGGGTGGAAAGCTTTGACCCGAGAAACTTGCAAATTCATATGCGTCGGTACCCGTATCCCATTCTCGATGGTCGCCGACGGCTTTGACCTTTTTTCGGCAACTGGTTGCTTCGATGATCCCGACACACATGAGGCCTATATCAACCAGTTTCTGCCTCCCAAGCTGCGCGATTCGGCGTCAGGCCGACTCTTGGTCGCTCGGCTTTGGCGCTGGTGTCGCGGAAGGTTGGTGAATATTTCACAGCAACCATAACATGACGCTCACTCGGCGTAAGGTACTCGTTAACTAACGAGTTCCTCTCCATGCTCCTCCAAGAAGGACTTGAATATCCTCATAATTCTTTTTCGCATTTCGTCGAGAATGCGACCGAGCTTGCGCCCCTTGATGCTCTCAAAACGATCTTCGAAGAAGGTCTCGCGCGAGACCATGTCTGGAAATCAAGCACCAATAGAATATCAGATTTTTCCGAAATCCCATCAGGTTCGTGTCCCTCTGCGCTTCCGCATCTTCTCAGTTGATAACCAATAACAGACCACAAAGAGCTCTTGCTTGAGATCCTCTATAGCTATATGTCAACACACGAGGGCCGCCGTTTCAATGCCGGCGAATACCCTGCGTTGGTCACCAACGAAGGCTGTGCTCGTTTCATAGACGGGGAGGATCTTCAAATCGGCCTGGATGAGCCATTATACCTGGTTTGTGCCGCGCGCCAATTGTTTCCGTTCCCGATGAAGGCGTACTTGCGAGATCGGCCACATCACTACCCTTCGACATTCATCACCAGTCTTCGTCTCAACCCTCCAACAACCAGAAAGAGTCTAGCACATTGTCTTGCGTTCTATATAACGCAAGTGTTCGGCGAACCGCGCTCGTTACTCGATATCGTCGACTTTCCGCATGCTGTTCCGCCATGGGCCCGTCAAACGGCCCAACTTGTGAGGTTGTTTTTGGACGAGCAGGGCGACCGCCAATACCAGATGGTCCTGCCTAATGCCTACGAGTCTGTAACGCCGCTTGCGACGGTGACAACGACCTTGGATGAAACAACTCGATGGATCAGCCACGAGTACGGGACTGCTTTCTGCATACCATCTTCTCCTAACATCGACTTGCTCTACGCTCTCAAACTTGCGGATAATTCATTCATCTGGGTCGCTGCTCGTCTTTTTGCCACCGATGAACCTGTAATGCCGGACGCTCTGGATCCTGCCATTTCACTCTTGGATATCGACAGTCTTTTCGTTGAGGTATTTGCACGTATTCCCACCATAACTCTTGTTGTCTCATCAGACCTAGACCACTGTGGATTTCGCTACGTCAAGGCGTGCTGCAGACGGCTTACGATCGCTGTCTGGAGTTCGACAACGACCTTGTGTTTTGCGCACCATCTCCAGTTTTCCTGTCGAAGTTGACCTTCGCACAAGTGTCGATAAACGCTTGCGGGACGTCGCAGCCCTCAGTCTCACCAAACTCCGGCTCCAAGAATGTCAGGTTATGCAGGAAGATTTTTTTGCCGCTCTGGTCAACGGCGTCATTGCTGGAACTAAACGTAAATCTAGATGGGATGATGGTTCCATGCATGTAGAGCGCAAGCGGGCAAGAAACATTGTGGAGAAACTCAAAGCCGCCCAGCAGCTGGACGAGGATGATTTGGACTACCCAGACCCAAATGCCCCTCAATATGACCCTACCATTACTTGGGATGTGCGAGTGGAGGACCTTTGGGAAAGGGAAGCTCGGTCTTCGTCTACTCGTGGAGCTGTCCAAGCCTTACCATCTCCGCGCAAACCCAGAAAACAAAAATCACAGCCTTCAAAAGCTAAACCGGATGTGCCAGTGTCCAAGGCAAAGAGCAGCAGAAAACCACCAACAGCCCGAGCTGGGAAGCCGCATAGATAGTCACGTTTAAATTGGAAGAAGATTAGAACATTTTCATTGCTTGGGATGCTATATACTTACCACCATGTTCATCAAGATTAGCCATTAGCCATTGTATACTGTTCTTGTAGTGTCGCGTTGAGGTTGGGAGGCGTAATGGTGTTTATAATTGGTGTGTCAATCTCAACTCGAAGTATTTCTCGAGGAAGAATTGTCTTCCTTGTGCATGCCGATGTCTACGAAACAATTCAAGGTATTATGAATTATCTCATCAAGGACTACAAGATATTCACGAAATATGAAGCAAGAGCATGTAATCCTGCAGTGCTACCACTTGTTGACAAACTTCAGCCAAACCGAGTCATCCAATGACCGTCGGGGCCTTCCAGAGATCGAGTTTTAACGTCCCAAAGCCATTGAACCGCCGTGGCAATTTCTCCCTCCCAATCCACCTTCAATCCGCATTCCTTTGCCAGCATATCATACCGGTACAGAAGCCGGAAGCACATTTTCAGATACTCGTGGAGCTTCTCGGGGTCCGACAACGGGTCGCTCTCCTCAACGGGCTTGTCTCGATGGAAACTCCCCCAGAAGAACGCCCGGTGTGGGTATGCCTGGGCATCATAGTCACCCGAGCCTGTTGCCATCCGAATAGCGTACGGGTAGCTCCGTAGCGAGCGATACTTGTCGTTCTCCAGGAGCTCTGGTTTTGGGAGCAGCACGTTGAAGAAGATGTAGCTTGGGAGCGCCCAATGGCAGATGTGATTCCACCCGAAGCTGTGGCCCCATGAGAGATAGTGGAGGTCTTGGAGTGGGACCTTAGGGTGGCGTGCGAGCATGAGGAGGGTTTCCATCTCATTTTCGGCAAGCAGTACTTTGACAACATCCGCAAAGTCGCCCTGACTCGTGGAGTAATGCAAAGAACTATCTCGGTCTTGTGCCTGCGCCAACCACTCCTTGAGCTGTTGGTTTTCGCGCGTAATAGAAGAGAAGGGTATATCGCAGTACCGCGTTAGAATGTCATCGGGGATGAGCACTGCGTCATCTGGAAGAGGGAATGCCTTCGGGTACTTGGCGCGTTCTGTTGTCGAAAATTCTATGATTGCTGACTCGAGGGTGCGAGCGAAATGGCTGAGCGCTTTGGCTTGGGTGGGGAGTCCCAAAGGACACAAGTCTGTGCGATGAGGAGTAACACTTCGATTGTCTTTGACGAAAACGAGGTTCGATGAGAGGGCATTCCATGCGATATTGTGCGACTGGTGCATAGTGGAAGGATGATTGTTTGGAAAAATCAACGTTGCTTTATACGAGGCCCGATGAGTCTTGGTGACGCTTCGGCAGCGCAAGGCAGTTGGACAGGGGACAAGAAAGTGAGAATGATGATGAAGAGTTCATTTACACCAGATTGCTTTAGAGGTCTGTGGACTGGACGATGCAGCATGACCGCGGTCCACTCTAAGGTCTCCTTCCCGCCACGATTCCATTCGCTCCGTCAGTCAAGCACCGCTGTCTCCCAATCTTCGACTCGAAAACTGTCTCGGGGCAAACAACGACGCCTTCTGGGCTGAGAGGTAGACAAGGACTGAGCTACATTAGGTCCGTGGTCAGAAGCAAAACGCACTGGTGCCAAAATTCCAACAGCACACGCTGTGATGTCCTAAACGTTGCGAAAAGCTCATGGAAGTCATGGTGGAGCAAGGCAAGAATTCCGAGCGTGACTTTGATTTCTTTACTCCCCCCAAAAATTTTAATGGTTGTTCTATTTCATGCAGCGGTCTATGGTACAATGCAAGGTATCCGTGGTATGAAGAAATAAAGATAATGATAAAGATGAAGCAAGGAAACTGAGAATATTGACCTCTAACCTGTCTCTTTCCTTGAACAGGATTCCGCCTCAATTGTAACGCGTCCGCCCTTGAGGCCAGAATCTTTACAAACCATAATGTGCAACGAACGGGGCGTCCCCCGTTCATCGCGACATCACGGTTTGCTGGCGTTGGAAAGAGAACAAGGTCGGCCATTTCATCTCTTGCTGGTCTTCTTCTGTTTGAAGACCGCGCGGTTATACCGCGAAGGTTTGACTGCTGCAAGTTTCGCAGCTTGGGCGGGTGTGATGGGAGAAGGAGATGGGCTTGAACCCTGATTGTTGGCACTTGGCTTTGAATGGCGTCGCTTCCGAGATGGAAGAGGATGAGATGCATTTAGATTTTCGTCGTTGGTAGGTGATGGTGGATGGTTTTGGTTTCGACGAATATGCTAAAGACTGGGTCAACATGGATTAAAACGGCAGAGACAAGGCCTACCCAAACAATTGCCAATAGCGCACCCCAAACGATATAGAGTGTTACTGGACGGAGTTGTGCAACAGCCCCCGTAAGCAGAGGGACCACGAGATATTGTGTCTAAAACGTTCAGTGAGCAATTTGTCAATACCGAAGGTCAAGACATACCGTATTGGGGACTATTGCTTCGATTCCAAGCAGCACCTGTCTCGCTATTCCATTACAAGCGACAGTCAGGAAAGCAGACTGCGAGAGGATGTCAGGAAATATGTCGGTCGCCATGTTGAACAAGCTATTATGGTCATCGTAGTTCAGCCAGAATTCCGAAGGCAAGAAGTTCGCGATCAGTTCGGTCTTGGTCGTCTTGCTCCAAATGGTCATGCAAACAATTGGTACGAAGACGACGGTAGTAGTCAGGACATGATTAGCCGTGTTTAACGCGATGCAGAGAACAAGGGTATTGTACAGCTAGTCGACAGCGTTCAGCTGGATTCACAAAACGAAAGCAGAACACATACCTGATCAAGGACTTCAATCACAAACTTGGCACTCCTGCATTCCGGTCTTGCAAAAGCCTCTGTTCCAGCGAGGACGTGGTCAAGTAGTTGCTGCAGGAGGAACGACGTGGTAATTTGAGCGAAGGCAGCGACGACAGGATCCGTGACTGGAACTTGGGGGGCAAAAGACACGACAACAGCCTTGGACGTTTGCAGGAGAATAGACCGGAAGGAGACCTCTTCTCTCGACAGAAATACTAGGGCAACCGAAAGAAGGATTTCGAATATGATCTCGTGCGACATGAACCAAAACGTCGTAGCCTTGGAATTGTCTCGCTCTTGACTTGAATCATCAAATTCAACAGGACCGGTTGCGAACGGTTGCGCGGCGGATGGTCGAGAGTGAGACGAGTCGGCGTTGGCTGTGACAAAGGCAGAGGACGAGGTCGTTGTCGAAACACGAATAGAGCCGGTTGCGAACGGCAGCGCGGCATCTGTGCCAGTGAAGGACCAGTAGACTCGTGTGCTGTCGGTAGCGATCGGAAGCGCGACTTGCAGGGACGACGGAGTGAAGATCGTTATGGAGTCCATGCTGGTGGCGATCGGTTGCGCAGCTTGAGTTGGAACAACAAGAGGGAGGGAGAAGGCCGACACGTCTCCCTTACCAAGGAAGAGGAGAGTGTAGTTGCCGGAGAAGGTCCTGCTGGCGAACGGTTGCCCAGCGACGCAAACGGGGGAAATGCGGATGTGAGAGGAGGACAAGCGACTCGAGGATGGGGAGACGGTGTCGAACAGCAGGGGCTTTGAAGACGACAGCCTCAGTGGCGTTGTCTAGGACGAGAACAGACTTGGCCACGAGTGGCTCAAGAGTGGGAAGGCGAATAGCAGCAAGGCTAGACACGGGAAGAGAGTTATTGTCTCCTGCAAGCAGGGAAACGCAGGCAGCGACAAAGACAGGTGCCAGACGGCGAACAGTTCTGAAGAGGAACATGGTTGTTCTGGTTCAACAGACGAATGTCACACCGTCACGCGAACGCCCACAGATATATGAGCCCGATCACATCCAGTGCTGTCCTGATGAGTGGCTCTTTTCATCGTAAACCACGTTGAGTACCAGGAGGGCCAATTGAATCTCAGAATGGTCATCACTGCTACACTCGTCAGCCGAGCCCTCCAAACAGTACTTAAGTATTGTACCAGCAACCGCCTCCCGCCAACTTCTTTGATTGGAATTCGAGTTTGTGTTTACACGTAAGTCTCCCTACATCTCGCCAAAAACGCGACCTCCAGACCTTTAGATGTAAATCACGTGTCCGCGTAAGTATTGATGTCTTTCGGAGCCTTCATCGTGACGAAAAGTCTCTCAAGTTTTCGTCTATGCGACGTTTTACACGTGTACGCCCAGTTGAAGAACTGTTGCGAAGATTCCCCCAGCACTGCTACTCTACCCGACCACTCTCTCTGGCCTTTTGCGGCATGACCATAGTCGGCGGAAGCGTAGTGATTGGCGGCAACAAGCTCGCCGCCGCAGCCCTCGACTTCTGCACCAACAACGCATCCATCAGGACAATGGCGGTCATAGCTTCGACAATCGGCACGGCCCTCGGTACGACACACGGATCATGCCTTCCCCTTGCCGCCAGTGTGCCGCTCTCCCCATCATACTTTGCCGTCGTCTGTGCCTTGGATATCGTTGCTGGTGGCTTGAACGCCACGCGGAAATATACGTCCTCTCCATTCGAGATGCCGCCCTGAATGCCCCCGCTCCAGTTTGTCTGAGTGCCAAGGCTCCCGTCTTCCCGCTGGACAAATGCGTCGTTGTGTTGGCTGCCGGGAACCTCAGTCCCACGGAAACCAGATCCAATCTCAAAGCCTTTGGTTGCAGGAATGGATAGCATCGCATGCGCAAGAAGTGCTTCGAGTTTGTCAAAGACAGGCTCACCAAGTCCTGGTGGTAGGTTGCGAACTACACAGGTGACAGTGCCTCCAATCGAGTCTGACGCATCTTTGGCCCGAATTATACGCTGTCCAGAATGTTAGATAGCAGAATCGACGTCTCATAAATAAAATAGGCACCTGCTTCATTCGTTCGGCAGTTTCGGGGTGTGGGCAGCGGGTAGGATGCTGGTCGACAGTAGACCGTGTTACCGTTGACAACAAGTTGCGAAACTCTTGAGATAATGGTTCCGCTGCTTCGTCGCCCTCTTCGTTTGTTGATTCCACAGTTGTAGGCAGGTGGATCTTCCCCACAGACGAGACAAATGCGACGATTTCCACGCGATGGGCGAGTCGAAGGTATTTTTCGGCAATCGCGCCAGCTGCGACGCGTCCTGGTAGCAGCATCCAATCAGTTATTTCACTTTTTTTCAGGGAGACACACCAATAGTTTCTCGGGCGCTACTTCTACCGCCCCCACTGCTCGCCTTGATACCGTATTTCTCGAGATACGTATAATCCGCGTGGCTCGGACGCGGGTACAAGTCCGTTTCAGAGTAATCATGCGGGCGCTGGTCCTCGTTTCGAATAAAGAGGCCAATAGGTGTGCCAAGCGTTACTCCCTGCTCGATCCCCGATTGCAGCTGGACCGCATCCTTCTCGTTTCTCTTTACATCGTTCGTTAGCTTCGATGGGTGAAACAACTAGAGCTCACTGGTGTTGTCAGATCGCTCTGCCCTGGTCGTCTTCGGTTGAGCTGGATTTGGATGTCTTCAGCGCTAAGCTGAAGTCCTGGTGGACAGCCATCGATAATGGCACCAACAGAGGCACAGTGGCTTTCGCCGTAGGTCGTTACGCGGAAGAGCGTGCCGTAGGTAGACATTAGTACCCTTTTTTTGAAAGTGTGGGTCAGATCGCTGGTGCACTGTTGATAACTACGACTTGCAGCGATTGTACAAGCTGTGGCTATAGCGCAACACAGGAGATCTGGGTGCGAATGAGCTGGTGGATGAGAGTGGAGGTCAAGGTCAAAAATTTCGGAATCTCGGAGTTTCGGGATTAGTTCGGACATACGATAACCTGTAGCACAACTCCAACAGTACTTGGATGTTTTCAGTACAAATTTCTCTCGCTTCTTCCACACAGGCAGCCAATGCATGTTCAGAACGGAACCGCCTTGAAACAAAATAGTGCCATCCTATCATCCGACCAGAAACTTGCAAGACGGTTGGACCTTGCTCGAAAGCACTAGCATCTGCGCAATCGAGCCACGCCGCTTCAACGCCAATCCCTTGACCCGGCCCAGCCACCCCCAGCCCGAATTTTCCGACCGTGACCCTCTCGAATGCTCGCTCGAGCTGTCGTCGTCAATATCAACCCCGTCTTCCCCCAACGCAGATATCAACAACGATTCAAAGTCTGCCATGGCACTGCCAGTGCTGGCACGGGGGCGCGCGTCACCACCCCCGGCTTCGACATCCTCGGTTATGGACGGCAATGTCGGCTCCCAACTCCTCCTCTTGGCCGACCCGAGTTGCTGAAAGGGACTGGGTGGTTTTGGTGCTGCTGATAGTGGTGTCAGCAGCGTTGGGGCATGCGGCGAGGTCCAGTCCCAGTCGGCTAGCGCCGTTTGTAAATTGGATTGCATATCTGTTGCGGTGGGCACGACAAAAAACGGCGCGTGTGCGATGAGCTGGAAGCGGGGCAATAACCACCTCAGACCTGATGAACTGCCCCCACTTCTTAAACTCCCGCATGCATTGTTCGCTCCGTTAAGGGTGGTCTCGCTGGACTCCTCTATTAGTCCGCGCAATGCAAACAAACCTGAATTCTCCTTCCGTCTGTAATCGGAGACATCCATTTCGAAGAGAGGAGGCGAAGAACGTATTGTGTCATCCCTTTCGGCCAAGGCCATATTGCTCCATTGACCGAGTTGCAACGCGCCGGAGAAATTGCAGGCAGAAACGCGGTCACGTGAAGGACAAGAAACGGTCCATAGAGAACGGATATAGTACACCCCCAAGAAGTACAAACATGATGTGATTCAATACTGCTTGGTCGTTAGAACAACACCCAACAAAGGAAACACAATAGCACTCACCCTAACTTGATACGATCCACTCGCTTTAGTCAGGTACCGCACCCACTTGATACTGTTATACCCGCTCTTCTCGAACACCTTGAGGAACCGCACAATGAGGCCCGAGGCAGTAAACATGAGAACCTGGAAGTCGACATCGATGGGCGGCCGCGCCCAAACTTGTTTGTGGCTCGAAGTGGTGCTCGTGAGAGCAGCGTTAGCGGTGAAGGTATGTTCTTGGCCGCCTTGTATTCGCGCAAGTCTGAGGAGTAATTATATGAGCCCAACAACGAGCTGGCAAAATAAAACACGCACTTCCAAACGACGACATTCTCCCCTGGGACATACTTGGCTTTGCCGCTGGCGACTTGACATTCGACAGTGGTAGTATTCAGTGGAGTTGGTATCCTCAGCACCACGTTCGTAGCCGCAAGTTTTGCGTTGAAGTTGGCCTTGACGGTTACGGCGTAGGAGACAGCAGTCGTTCCAAGTTCTGTCACGGTTGCCAAAATTCTTAGCGGAAGCTTTACATTTGTAGTTGAGCGGTATCTGAAGTGCAAATGTCAGCAGGTCAGAAGAATTAAACAAGCCGCATACCGCATAAGCTCGAATTCCCCGTCCGGAGGGATGAAGCTGATTGTCCGGCTTGCATCGAACTCGTCCAACCTCACACATTGGTGGAAGCGACAATCGTCCAGCTCAACTGCATCCCCGCCGCCACCACCCGCTTGCGATTTGTCAATGACGAGCTTATCGTTAAGGCCAAATTTGCACTCGGGCGTGCCTGACAAGTAGGCCCGCATTTGGATATGCCCGTCAACATCCGCTCGGAGAACAGTCCCTACAACATGCATGAGAGAAGAAAGACTGCGCTGCGCAACACACCTTTGGCACTCATGCTCAGATTGACGGTCTCCACAACATCAACAAACGCCTCGTTCTTCTTGTATTTGACGTCTGCTCTCCGCCAACTCGTCGCTCCAGTTGCCTGCGCTGTTATCTTGGCGGACTCTTCTGCCACATATGAGGACGAAACAACGCTCTCTGTTGTAATGTAGGATTTAAGGGTATCGATTTCGCTGTTCTGCGGGTATCCAAAGTCGTTGATCTCTGCTCGCAGGATTAGCATGGAGGCAAGCCAAGAAAAGCAGCGCTACACACCGTCAATGAGCTCGTAGATAAGCACAAAGTTGTTCTTTATAGACTCCTCGTCGATCTTGCCAAAGTAGGACTTGCAGATGTTGATGAAGCGGTAGCAGAACTCGAAGACGAGCGCCGCGTTGGCGTTATTCCTACAAGCTGTCAGCCACAGACTCCGGAGCAAGGGTAGTTCACGCACTTTGTAACAGCAACGACGTAGAGACTGTTTATGCGGACGTGAAAGAAGCTGGTGGAGCCGAGGGTTATAATGGGTGACCGGACATCGCTGTTGGAGACGACCTGGATCCGGAAGACATCTGCTATTGACCGTCTGTGCTAAGTTTTAAGGGCCACGACAAATCGACAGTGATTACCACTGACTTGAAGTCGGTGCGGTATAATCGTGAGATGAGGACCTAGTCGGGATGAGCCTTTCGCAAGGGGGAGGGTTATCAAGAAGGCCTACTTCTCCCTTCTGGTTGAAGATGAAGAAAGCCTGGAATATTGTCAGACTCTCTGTGCGTCTATATGAGAGCTGGCTCACAGAGATCATAGGCGGTGGCAAGAAGCAGATGCGACTGGAAATGGTGACAAATCATTTCTCCGTAAGGTAGGGGTCGTGGGAACCCCGCACGTTTAGTCATCCATCAAATGATGGCATCAGCGCCATCTTTTGAGCTTTTACGACAAAAAATATTATATTTCTACTATTTTCAGGGCAATAATGGATGTAGTAGGTAGATATGCAATAGGCAGATACTATTCCATCATAAACAACACCCTCCTTCCTTTTGTGCTGTTGTTTGGTGGTCCTCATAGAGGTTGTCACAAGTGTTGACAAGTGTGACAGCTCTAAATGGATAGAATTTGGCTGTAATTTAACCCTAGAGCAGGACTTCATTCAATTTAATGCTGATTTACATAGTAGATGTCACCACAATGTGTTAAAATATGTTAACCTTGTTGACTTTATGTGGCATGTGATAGTGATTGTCACGCTTTTGAGCGGTGTCACATGTGTCACAGGCCATCATTTTGGGTCTGGCAGAATATAAAAGTTTAATATGATGAATTTATGCAAACAAGTCCGCCTGAGAGGGGGGAGCTTGTCAGATCCCAATCACCAGCGCGCTGGGGCGCTGCGCGCGCGGCTGACCAATCCATGACTAATATCTCCACGGGGCATTTCACGCTCGTTACGACACCAACGGGAAAAGGTGCCCTATATCAGAAATGGGGGTCGCAAGCTCCCCCCATTATTATTGAATGATTGGACCTAACATTTATTGCCAAATGTAAGGGCAACCCTGGAGACTCCGACGAAAGCCTAGCAGGGGAGGATCCAAAGAGTGAATAAGACTACAGGAAATACACGGAGGGACCGACCTAGCAGGGGAGGATCCAAAGAGAAGAAACTCTAAGGGTCCGCCTGCTAGGCGCGCCAACTATATACTGGTCGTCCGTAACTGCCGACGTAGAGTGCAGAAGGCCTGAGCGGCGTCGCAGGCTCTGTCCCAAGGTGATTGTTGGGAGGGTCTTGACGGATCGGTGATTGTGCGGGCGAAGGAGGCTGTGGACGATGGTTGGGGTGGGTCGGAGCGTCCGAGGGGGCGCCGGTCGGATGCGCCTCGGATGCGTTCGGAGGGTCCGAAGGAGGCCGGGGGGGTTCCCCTGACATCACCCCCCTTTGAATGCGGCGTCCCGACGCATAATACGGAAGGGCAGCGAGTCGAAGGTTGCTGAGGCGATGTGCCGTGGTTTACCCGGGTATCTCCCATAGAAGTCCGCAATCTTGTCTGGCACAAAGACACGGTCGAACCGGACCCACGAGTCGTGTGAAGCATCGTAGCCTTTCCACCTGACGAAATAGTTAAGACGCTTATTGTCAGGGGAACCCCCGCTTCGGCCTCCTTCGGACCCTCCGAACGCATCCGAGGCACATCCGATCGGCGCCCCCCCGGACGCTCCGACCCACCCCGACCATCGTCCACGGCCTCCTTCGCCTGCACAATCACCGATCCGTCAAGACCCTCCCAACAATCACCTTGGGACAGAGCCTGCGACGCCGCTCAGGCCTTCTGCGCTCTCGTCGGCAGTTACGGACGACCAGTATATAGTTGGCGCCCTAGCAGGCGGACCCTTAGAGTTTCTTCTCTTTGGATCCTCCCCTGCTAGGTCGGTCCCTCCGTGTATTTCCGTAGCTTTTATTCACGCTTTGGATCCTCCCCTGCTAGGCTTTCGTCGGAGTCTCCAGGGTTGCCCTTACACTTATACCTTATCCTAGCATCCAAGATTTCCTCGACTTCCCATTCGGGAACTCCGTCCTCTAGTTCGGGGGGCGGTTCGTCGTAGCCGGGTCGTCCATCGAAGGGGGTCGTCCTGAGCGGGCTCGAGCTTAACAACAGGGAAGACGGGGTGGAGCTTGGAGTAACGCGGGGGGAGGTCGAGCTTGTAGGCACCTTTGCTAACCTCTGCGAGCACTGTCAGGGGAACCCCCGCTTCGGCCTCCCTTCGGACCCTCCGAACGCATCCGAGGCGCATCCGACCGGCGCCCCCTCGGACGCTCCGACCCACCCCGACCATCGTCCACGGCCTCCTTCGCCCGCACAATCACCGATCCGTCAAGACCCTCCCAACGATCACCTTGGGACAGAGCCTGCGACGCCGCTCAGGCCTTCTGCGCTCTACGTCGGCAGTTACGGACGACCAGTATATAGTTGGCGCCCTAGCAGGCGGACCCTTAGAGTTTCTTCTCTTTGGATCCTCCCCTGCTAGGTCGGTCCCTCCGTGTATTTTGTTGAGCGCGGAAGAATCCTGACGAGAGACTGCGTCGTAGCGGTCAATGCTTTGTTATTGACTATTCTAGCTGAAGTACATACCTGCGTCGTAGCGGTCAATGCTAAAGAGCAGTGACCGTCACGACGCAGCACTTATACTACCAATGTGACATAGCGCGTAAAGTATTGGCTTCAACACTCCCCCTCAATGCGGCGCGTCTTGTCATGTTAAGCCGAGTGATTGCACCATCTTGAGGAATTTCTCGCTTCCGAGTGGTTTTGTGAGCCCATCAGCGACCATATCCAATGTGCTGCAGTGCTCGATCACGATCCACTTTGCTGCGACTACCTCCCTCAACCAGTAGAATCGTAGGTCGAGATGCTTGACGCGACCGTGATGGTCTGGATTTCGTGCGACGGCAATGGCTGACTGGTTGTCGATGAAGAGTTTAGATGCTTCTGGTTGATTGTACCCGAGCTCTTGTGCCAGATTCTGCAGCCAACGTATTTCCTGGCCTGCTGATACCGCCGCCACATACTCCGCCTCTGTTGTCGAGAGCGTGACGAAAGGTTGTAGGCGGCTCGACCAACTTATTGCGCCGCCGCCCATCATGACGATATACGCTGATGTTGAGCGTCCGTTATCTGGATTACCGCCATGGTCGGCGTCGCTGTATGTGGTGAAAAGCTCCCCCTGGTTGATTTTCCCCCCGAAAGTCAATTTTCGATCGATGGTCCCCTTGAGATAGCGCAGCACTCGTTTGAGAGCCTGCCAATGAGTTTGACCGGGATTTTGAGAGAACCGGGAGAGCACACCAACAGCGTATGCAATGTCGGGTCTCGTAGCGACGGCGAGGTAGGCGATGGCGCCAAGAATGTGGAGGTAAGGTACATTCTTCATTGCCTTCTGGTCTTCCGAGGATTCCGGGCAGTCGGCGGCGCTTAAGCGTACTTTTGGGTCCATCGGCGTTGTTACCGAAGTTACAGTTGGACATGCCCGCTCGTTCGAGGATGTCGCGGATGTACTGATCCTGGCACATAGATATTGTACGGGCTTGGCGGTCGCGCACAATCTTCACTCCCAGCAGCCAACTCGAGGGTCCTAGGTCACGTAGTTTGAAGTGCTTTCCGAGTTCGTCAATAAATGCATGTGCTTCAGCGCTTGATTTTGCAGCAATCGTCATGTCGTCGATGAACACCGGTACGATGATGCGTGTACCTGATTCTTTGCTCGTGTAAACCCAAACGCTGTGCTCGCAGCGAACTCGTTCGAACCCCATCGAGGTAAGGACTTCGTGAAGTTTGAGGTGCCATTGATGGCCTGCTTGTCGTAAGCCGTAGAGCGATTTGAGAAGTTTCAGCGCCTGACCCGGGGGTATGATTGTGGACCCTTCGGGTAGTTGCATGTAGACATCTTCGGATAAGTCGCCATATAGGTACGCAGATGAGATATCGACACTCCAGAGCTCAAGATCTTCCATTGCGGCGAGTGCAAGGACAAAGCGGAGTGTCGCCCACTTTGGGGTTGGGGCAAAAGTTTCCGTGAAGTCGAATCCGGGGCGTTGAGAGTAACCTTTTGCCACAAGTCGAGCTTTATATCGTTCGATGGATCCATCTCCGTTAAGCTTCACACGGAATACCCAGCGACTGCCAATTGCTTTTCGTCCTTCGGGGAGTTCGACCAGTTCAAACACTCCCATCTCGATTAATGATTCTAGCTCACGAAGCGCAGCAGCATGCCATTTCTCTGCTTCCTCTTTGGAGAGCCGCATTGCCTCCTCGTACGAGTTGGGACCGGCTGTCGATGTCGAGAGGGCTGATAGCATCGCATTTTGGTAAGCGAATTTGAATGCTTCTAGAGGGCTGAGATATACGAAATCTGACGGCTCGGATTCGAGTTGAGCGTTTGCTGCCCAGGTGCCTTGGTAGTTCCACGGTGCCTTTTGGTTTAATTGGTTTAGTTTGAGTCGCTGACCGCGTCCAAGGCCGGGGGGCATGCGATAAAGCCCGCCTTTGCCGGAAATATCGAATTCTTGCGGTGCGAGTGGGCGTTTCGGAAGTGGAGGTGGAGTTGATTGATCCGAGTTGGATTCAAAGTCAGATGGTAGGTCTGTGAGCGTTGACATTGGGGACAGTGGTGGTGTCTGGACTTCCGGGAGGAGTGGAGATAATAGCTGTGGCGGAGGTGATAGCTGTGGTGCTGGTTCGGTGTCGGTGACCTTTTGTTTGGATTTTCCAGATTCGTAGTTTGTTTCTCCCCCTGAATCTGGTAAATTGTCAAACGGCACTGTGTCATTCGCAGTGTTGGGGGCATTGCTGAGTTGATGCGGAAAGGGATGTTTCGGGGGTGGTAGATCAAATGGATTTGCGAGTGGCCATTGGTTTCCTGGGAATACGCGCTCGTCGAAGGTCGCATGCGATGAGACAACAACACGTTTGCGACGCGTGTCCCAAAACTTCCATGCTTTTGTACCGACCGGATATCCAATGAATATCATCAGCTGAGTTTTTGACTCAAACGGTTTTCGCTTTTTCTTTGGGATGAGCACATAAGCGAGACATCCGAAAATCCGTAAATGGCTGACATCAGGCTTTTGGTGGTTCCACGACTCTGAGGGGGTAACAGAAGGGGAGCTGCTGGTTGGGAGACGGTTATAGGCATAGTTTAGGGCGCTGACGGCGTGTTCCCAGAGGTAAGGTGGGAGTTTGGATTCTTGAAGAAGTGCGGTTGCGCCTTCTTCCAATGTCCGATTCGCTCGTTCGGCAACACCATTTT